TGCAGTTCGTTCCCGTTTTTTATTGCTTTTTGATTGTTTGCTATAATTCAATGTAATTGTCTTGATGATTTGTGAAAGACTAATGGTTGCGTAATAAAATAATGAGATATTAAATGCTTAAATAGGCAAGACTAGACCGACCTCCGGGATGGACCAATACACTTTTAGTTATGTGTTAAATTCTACTAACTAATTCAAATCTTGTTTTGTATAAATCCATAATGAGGAAAATCACTATACAGATGTAATTTCCAGTGTTATTAAGTGAAAAAGGCACCGTTTAATCTATGATCTCAATCCTACCTAGCTCGCATGAAGATTTTGATAACACCCTATTGTTTTTATAAACGCCCACGGCCCATGTAGAGAAGAAAGAACCAAGTTTGGTAACAATGAGTAACATTTAATTTAAAACTAAAAATAAATATATCGGTTATATTTATTTATTTATTTATTTATAGGTAACTATTAACATCTTCCCAGTATTTGGATACAACAGGACGTTTGTAAGAACTTCAATAAATTCTCATAATGTTATCATGGTTACTAACTAAAATTGCGACTGAGGCTTATCACGGATTGTGGTATCGGTCATCGAACCTCACGCATCACACGCAAAGCTGTGACGCACTTATCACACCAAGTAATAAAGATTTGTTCATACTTTATGACTGTATTTTGTCTTAGTGTATTGCGATTTTCTGGAAATTATCTTATTATTATGTTATTACGATCTTGGGTGTATGCTTGCTTTTATTGCGAGCTTTGACGCGAATCAGGTTAATTAGACTGCACAGTAGGCGCGGTGGCTGGGCAACTGGCTGCCGCGCAACGTGTCGTGGGTCCGATTCCTGCATGGGACAACTCTGTGTGATCCTCTGGAGAAAATCCAAGTGTGGGTCAACGTAATTAAAAAAACAATTGACGTGACAATTTTTTGTATTATTAAATATTGTAAGATACCATAAGTTAAAACATGTGGCTTTTTTCCACTTCGTATTCCATCCTAGTTTTAGTATTTCATGATTAATTAATCGTAGTGATCGTATTGATTAATCGTAGTCGTACTTGTAGATGACATAGGTAGGTTTTAGTGTATTACTTGCACCTATGTCTAGCTTATTTGGAAATAGAAGTCGTGATTGATTCCGAACAAGATAATATTAGATACAACAATCATAATTTTAAAAAGCGTTGTATGACCTAACCTTTACAAAGAAAATTTTAAAAACAACGATTAACGATTAATCTTACCGTCGCAAAAATGTTTATAGGTACCCAGTACTTAATTACAAAATCCCTTCACATAGCAGACTAGTTTTACAATCGTGCAAAGTACATTGGACGATTGTAACTAAAGAAATACTTACCTACGCAGTTATGGATATCGCAGACAGTCATAAATAACGTTATTTTCCTGTTATTTACACTAAACTCTTGATATAAAAGCTTTTGCATTATAACAACAATACCCTTGATTGCGTCATTGGCCGAGTGGTCGCAGTTGCGACTGCCGGGCAAGGGGTCTCAGGTTCGATTCCCGGGTCGGGCAAAGTATTACTGGGTCTTCAAAAATTCTCAGTAGTAGCACGGAGTCTGGAATTGTGCCCGGTATATGGCAATAGGCTCACCTCGTATTACATGGGACTCATAACATAAATAGTGAAAAGTGGGTGTTACATTGTATGTATAGTGGTATAATGTGCACCTCTGCCTACCCTTTCGGGGATAAAAGGCGTGATGTTATGTTATGTTATGCAACAATAACCTTTTTACCGGTTATATTATGTCTATAAGCCGCATGTAATAAGGAGCGAGTCTATTGCCATATAAAGGACACAATTGTAGACTATACTTATTGACTGCCGAACTTTTCGTAACACTTTCAAAAGTCAATAATATTTTCGCCTGAACTCCTTAAAATGTTTAATGATCTATTTCCCACCCTCAAGTCATCTGCCAAGCCTACCTTAGGATTATGGCAAACTAAGCAAACTTCCTTTAACTCGTCGAGTACCGGTTTTATAGACACAATTAAAGAACAATAGGTCGCGGTCACCGGTGACCGCTTGGTGTTTGACAGTTTAAGGGAAAGGCCATTTATACTGGAAGATCTGGTTCTAGATGATGCGAAACGTCTGTCTTCTCTTGTAAAGATGATCTCATACAAAAACATAATAATTGGGATGATGACAGGTTATGAAAATTAAAAATCTATTTAGTCCGTAAGTAGTAGTAGTAGTGACAAAACATTAGACACGTAATTTTTTATTTTGTTGTGTAATAAAAAAATATTTACATGAAACGTATCAAAGTTTAGGAGTGGGGGCTAAAAAGTCATTTCTATCTACGTATAAGATGTACATAGAAGTGACGTCACGCGACATTTCAAATCAATATATCGTCGAAAGTATTCGTTTCTGTAAGAAAATAAAAAATACGTGTCTAATGATTTAAAATAATCTACCAAACGGACATTCAAATAAAAATTAGGCATTTACCCTATTCTAAACTATGTATTTATATGCCTTGATAAAGTCAACTGGTTCAGGTAGGTAGGTAGCATAGCATGCAAATAAATAATGTTGTGGTTTCTTGTTACTAATTATTATGAGAAAGTTCAAAATGCAACACGAAAATACCCAATCAATAAATACTCAAATTATTTAATAGAGCAATAAATCGTATTTAAAGAGTGTCTACGGCGTAGCTCCTTTTGTAAATCAGGCGATACTTTGGGGATCAGGCAATCAATAGTGGGAATTGGGTCAACTTAGAGTCCCATTTCAAACTAATAGTTCCGTATAATTTTATTGATAAAGCATCTGAAATGGTATTTGCACGAACCTCGGCTTCACAGAGTAAATAATAGAGATCGATCAGGCTTGGACAATTTTTTTAGATTAACTTTTATTGTGTCTGCATGATAAAGTTAACATACTTTGCTAACACTAAAAAGGTTTCTATAGGTGCGGAATCCAAATAAAATGTGTTATCATTATCATATCGTTGAGGTAGGTACACGAACACTAGTAGGGGTCGGTGATCAGTCAAGCGAATCGGTCGCCCCTCGAAATAACAATAACTTGGCCGCATGTAGGTACCTATTTGTTATTTTTAAACAGTTTACCCCATCAGTTACAGCTGTGCACACGCTTGAAACATAGTGGTATTACAAGTAAAAACAAAAAATGATTTAGTTTAGCAATAAGTTGCACACACGTGCAAATAATCTTAGCTGTTATTAAAATTGTATCAGGCGTAAATTAGACATGTAAACACGTTTGAAAATGGATTTTTCATAACAATTGCTTAGTTCAATTGTGTCTTTTGAATAAATTAAGAAAATTAAGATTAATATGTGTATCAATATTGTTAATCGTAGTTACGATTAATTAATAGTCACAAGTTACGAACACACCTTGATTGCGTTGCTAGGATACCGACGTATTATCAATTTTTCACAAAGTTTTGATCAAATACCCCGACGAATCATGGACATGGAGACGTATTTGATAAAATAGGTGAGTTTTTTATATTTACTATAGGTAATTTAGGGAAAAAATAATAAATTTTAATCATAAACGTTGGTTTGTTTACATACTTTGTTGTGCAAGGTTAAATTTACTAGAAGTGAATGGCATACGATAGTGGCGAGGTAAGTGACCTATTACATGACCTACATTAAGCTACGAACTTTACTAGAAGGTACTTACCTAGTATTTACCAAAGAGTTACTATGTACCTTGCATGTGAACCGCAGTAAAATATATTTTATGCTCTGATTTTTTGATGTTCGAACATAAAAAAGTATTTTATTGATAAAACATTGATTTTTATCATCCAGGTACAAAGTTTCAAAGCTCAATGATAATTTTACACTTAACGATTGATATTATTTCCTGATTCTTGTTTACTCTTTTGATAACTCACTAGATAAGTGATTATAGCTACTACGTTCAGGGAACCGTGGATCGTAAGATATCCAAACTAGTGGTATCAAATCAATAGTATGGACTACTTCAATAGCTTAGATATTAGATACTCATTAATAAGAATAAATTTTAACGTATTTAAAGTCATCAGGCTTTCTGAAAGTATCTATTTGTAAGGGGCGGGCAATCTGATATAAAGTCATTTCTTTCCCATGCAACTTTGACTAATGGTGATAAATCTTTACAACCGAAATGACGAACATAATTAAACTGTCAAACACCAAGCGGTCACCGGTGACCGCGACCTATTGTTCTTTAATTGTGTCTATAAAACCGGTACTCGACGAGTTAATTATAGTTTAGTATCCGTACCTAGATAATTACGTAGCATATGTTATGTGAGCACCCACTTCTGCATTATGGGAGTAATCGTTTTGTACTAACACCTACATAGGTACTAATCAAAATGGAAAATCATTGTCAGTACCATCAATACGGAAGTTTCATGAGGGTTGATTGCAATAATTACAAAACCTTTGCAGGTAGGTACTTATTTAGAGCTAAAAGGGGACAGGTTTATTCACCTCGGCAAGGGGTCTGTGAGTAACTGCATTGTGGGCGGTAATAATTAGATGCCTAGTCCGATAGCCACTGTTTCTTGCCGCCCTACGGAAAGCTCGCCCGACTTATTTCTGCAGTACAAACCGCAATTTCGCTGTTGCCACACCTCAGAATGTTGTCTTTTTACTTTTTATTATGGCTTCCTTTCTATTTCCTCGAGCTGGTGGACGTTTTATTTTGTGAAAATGAAACAGATAAGTGAATGAGTTAAGCTTTCGTGCAAAATGTCTTTCGAATTTAAGTCGGCACGTCATTTCTATTTAGAAATGAAACAAAGAAAGGTTAAGAAGAAAGTTACGTTTCAGGTCGCTACAGTTATAATTTTTATGTCTCATCTAAGATGATTTTGTACTTTGATTTTATATAAAACTAATTTAACATATAAGGATATTTTGTTTCTTATCTACATGGCGGTGATCAGTTAACCAGAATTCCTTTTTCCAGTTGCCGAGTAGGGAAGGTTTGACTACGCCACGGAGCGCTCGGGCTCCTATCGGCAGGCGACCTCCGAGCACGCTTCCTCATCGGCTGAAGAAGGAGGTATGTATACCTACGTACTTTATGAATTAAATTATGACACACGCACTCACTTTGCTCATGTTCAAACGGTCCTAACATTTTTTACTTCGTAGAAGTCTTTGGACAGTCCCCCTGAGATGGACTCTCCGGGAGGAAGTGTCAGCAGTGACTTGCGACGGCAGAACGAGGAGCTGCGCGCTCGTCTTGCCGGCGAGGCTGCTGATCATAAGCGTAGACTTGAGGCCTATCGTCGAGCGCAGCAAGGCCAAGCTGCGTTAGTGTCTAGGCTTCAGTCCAAGGTACCTAAATATAAGACTAGAGTTTACGCCCTTAGGTGACAATTTTTACTGTAAAGTGGAGACCACATCGTATAATATTAATTTGAATTAAAATGTCGTGTATTACTAAACTGAAGATTTTTTTTTCCTCTTTGTAACCGAGTCTCTAATACGAAAAGTGAAGATTTTATTGCATTTACAAAACGTTCCATAAAACGTCAAAAGCTGACAATCTTTTTTTTGACAGTTGAAGTTGATACCTGACAACTGACAGATATTTATTTACAAAGTTACAAATTGTATACTTACCCAGCTGATGAAAATACAGAATTCCTAACATAAAAGCAAGCAATTGTGAGATGAAAGTGTTTCATTCAATAATAATATCGCTTGATAAAGGTGCTGCAATACAAGCAGCGATGTTCGGAGCTGGAGAACCAGATGTTGGAGACGACTCCGCGCAGCGAGCCGTCGTCCACCTTCCGCGCTCCAGCAGTGAAGAGCCACTCCGTGTCACTGCCGCCGCCGCCCTCCGCCACCACGTGCTCCTCGGCCGCAGTGGCTGCTGCAGACGCCAGGATCACCGACCTGGAGACCGCGTTGAGGCGTTTGGATGAAGAAAAGCGCAAGTAAGGGCTGGTACATCTCTGTATGGCAGTTTTAAACTTAGAGCAGAAACTAGTTTACACTTTTCTGAATAAAACATTTCCTACTAAATAATCTGAATGTTAAGATTGTTAATGTATACAATTGAGATCTAAAAATGCTTACAATATTATCTATTTTTTTTTTTTTTCTTACATAAATAAAATAGCTATTAGATGGAAAAGTAGGTAATAAGAAAGTTTTTAAATGCTGTTTCTATTACTATACACTTGGCTGTTTTCTGATTCATCAGGTGTGAGAAACTGGTGCAGCAGAACAACTTGCTGCGTGACCAACTGGAGGAGTCTCACCATCTGAATGAGGCTCTTACTAATGACCTGCAGAAGTTGACCAACGACTGGGAGGCCCTACGGGATGAGATGGCCATCAAGGAGGACGAGTGGAAGGATGAGGAACAGGTTAACATTTTATTCTTTTTGATTACAACAAAAATGTAACAGTAATAACCTAATAAAAATGAGTTCTCGCTTGCTGGATATAAATTTGAATTTCTATTTGTAACTCCTTTCTTTTCATTTTGAAATGAAAAGAATGCTATTGGACCTGGAACAACAATTTGTGGATTGCTCAATGAATTGTGCCATATCAGAATTACAAAAAGTAGTTCCTTAAATTATCTAAATCACTTTAACATTACAGGCATTCAACGATTACTACTCCAACGAACATCATCGCCTGCTCAGCCTGTGGCGTGAGGTCGTTTCTGTGAAGCGTCACTTCGCTGAGCTGCAGACCAACACTGAGCGTGACCTGTACCGTGTGAGGAATGAGTTCGATTCCAATGCTAGGGAACTTGTTGGTATGCTCAGCGGATATTCCATCAATGCCTTTGCTGCTCAAAGTATGAAGGTTAGTTTATATTTGAGTTTTGTCATAGGTATATAGAATGCATTCCTAATCTAATAGGAAGTGTGTCAGTTTTAGTACCTTTGGGGTTATTATGACATCCTAAAGTTAGAATGGTTCTATTGAGGGAAAGAAACAGAACTGTACAAGTCGTCTAGCGAGATTTCGTTTCTTCAACGGAACCACTCTGGCTTTAAGACGTCATAATACGCCACCAAAATTTAATACTAAGAAACAGTTCTCAATGAGTTGAGAACACCCTCCTAATTTTTTAGGTTGTCAAAATTGATTAAAGGATTAACTTCATGTAATAATTTTCATATTAACTCGTGCCATGGCCTTAGTTTGAAATGTTTTTGACATAGAAAGAATGTTAGACATATTTTTATTTATTCGCAGCCTGACTTCCAGTCATCTCAGCAGAACATCTACCAGAGCCAACAACCAGGTGGTTACCAAGGTTCTCACCAGGCTGGGTACCAGGGGTCTCACCAAGCTGGTCATGCGCCGGGTATGCAAGGGGCTCAAGGTCACGCGACCAGTGGAGCGGGTCCGTATACTGTGGAGGGTATGCGCGTGGACTTGCGCGACATGACTGCGCAACGTGACACTGCGCTGGCTGAGTTGCGCGAACGTGATGCCAGGATACAACGCTTGTTGGGAGAACTGCAGGGCTTGGTGAGTTTGTACTAATTGAGTACTTGCCAACTATATAGTTAGTCAAATTCAATACTTTTTTCGAACTGTCAAAAACGACCGTTTACTATGAATATTGTACGAGATTGTTGTATTATGACGTCACTTTTTTTTCTTTCTTAAAAATTTGCGGGAAAAATATTAGTATTTTTCCATAATTTTAGAATTATGGTCATAAAATCAATTAACTCGTTGAGTACCGTCATTATAGACATAATTAAAGAACAATAGGTTGCGGTCACCGGTGACCGCTTGGTGTTTGACAGTTTAATGAAAGTGTGATCATTTTTAATATTTTATTGTGTTGAACATTGTCGAAATAATTTATTTTTGACCAAGTACCCAATTATCGTCTTATGAGAGCGTGTATTCGATCTGCCTTACAAGTCTAATTACTTGATAAAATATCTCACAACTTTGAGGCATCTCTGTATCTATAGCAGCTATATTTAAAAGAGCTTGACCAATGAGGTTTAATTACGAGTGCATCTAGCTGTTGAATAGAAAATAAGTTCTGACTTAAATACTGAATGAAGTTACGTACTTGCGTAGCCATATTTTTAAAGTGAACAACACTGCTTACTATTCACAACTCCCCACTAAAAACGCGACTGAACTACTACACCTTAAACTAGGCTACTAGGGTTTGTGATCGGAATTTAATGAAAGGAAGGAGATCATTCAGGTTTTAGTAAAATAAGGATACTACGTTACTACCTAATAGTTTGCGTGTTTAATGTCTATCGCTGAATTCCGTTTTAGGTATTGGTGGTTTAATAACATCAATTAGGAATTAGAACTTGTGCGAAGTGCAAGCGCTAAACGCTAACCTCGTTAATTCTGGGTCTTTTGTTTACACAATAAATAACTAGATTTTAGTACAAGACTACGAGTACGACACCTTTTGCAACTTAAAACGATTACAGTGAAATACATACTTCTTTGTAAGCACTTCTTTTGTAAGTAACTGCTAAAGATTTATTATAATAACCGTAGCATGGGATTGGTATTGGTTTAGTTGGTCGCGACAAAATCTTCAAAGAGATGGATGTTGGTGGTTGAATGTGGAAAACTGCAAATCGAGTGGTGTGCTCTTGGAGAGAATGGAGAGGCATATTAAGTCATTATGGAAATTATGATCATGATTGTCATTGTATTTTCGTTATATAGTGATTAAAGGTGAACGCACACTTATTTATCCGAGTCGAACTCCTTAAACGAGTTGAAAGAAACGAATTTTAGAATTCTGTATATGAATTTTCATGAAATTGTTCGGCTCGGATAAGTTTTCGTCCACTTTAATATGGTAGATATGTGATCTAGTGTATTATTATTTATTTTCTGACAATGTGCAGGAGGAGCGCTGTGAGAGCGCGGAGGCGTCGTGCGAGGCGGCGGGCGTGATGCGCGCGGCGCTGGAGGACGTGGCGCGCGCGCTCATACACGACTCCGACGCGGACACCGCGCCCGCGCACGCCGCGCATCTACATCTACACGATAGGTCATTGGGGACTTCTATTTCTCCTAACTTTTGCTTGCAATAGAAACATATAAACTGAAAGTATGAACAAAATAAAATTAGGTGGATATTTATTCTGTATCAGCAGCATAACTGCATACACAAACTTATTTTTATTATTCTTAAAAAACGTTGCCCCGCACTAGGTTTTACTCCTGTGTCGTGGGTGCGTTTACAAACATACATGTACACATACATGACACCCATACCCGGAACAACTATCTATGAATAACACAAAAAGTTGTTCCATTCAAGAATCGAACAACTATTTAACACTAGGGTTTTAGAAATACAAACTATAGATCGTCAGGAAGTTTTAGGGCTTGTACTAGTAGTGCAAGTCATACTTATGTATATACTTGTTTCGTTTTTAAGGCATCCCAGTTATAGTTCTTTTATCTCACGAGCGCGGGTGAGCCATATTTGTAGTTGTAGTGCGTATAGACACGCGCGCTTGTGTGCGTACCTCGCAGCTCATTCATTGGCTGCCGGCCGACACTGGGCGTTCCCGAGCGGACGCAAACAAAGACAATGTGCGAATACATTTACCCACACAAGTATGGACGCACCCGCGCTCGTGAGATAAAACATCTATAAAGGAATATTTACATCATATTTGAACTTTTTGAAATGCAATATGTACTTACAAAGATATACCTGTAGCTAAGTTTATAAATTACTCCACCATTTGTTTTGGATGCTAACATATTCTAAATTGTATTACAGATCACCAAAACGCATTACTTCATCCGCCAACGCGACTGCTTTTGCTGAAAGCACAATATCTGCCGTACAAGCCGCGCTACACAAGTACCAGATACAAATACATGAGTTACAAGTAAGATTCGTCATGCTAATAATAATTATAACTTTTTAATGAGTTGAACTAATGATAAGCTATCAACACCGCCTATAGATACCTGCGTCTTTAAGAGGTATAAGTGCGTTACTGGTCTTTTGGGGAACCCGGATTGGGTCTCCGGTAACAACAAAAACGTTGGTTTACGCCAGTTTTATGTGACCACCGAGACGTAGATTTCCAACGTAAACTTTTATCTTAAACTACAAAACTTCATCAATAGTTCATTTATTTATTAATTCCCTTTTATTTATTAATTTTATTATAATAAAATATATACATACAGTTTATTTTTATTTTCTTTATTATTGTCTTTTCGACGTACCATCCGTGAGTCACCGCAGGGTGCCACCAGAAGACCAGCGTTGAGTTAACACTGAGCGTGGTAACCCAGTAACCCACGCTCAACATAATGCTGAGGTGGAGGCCCGTTCGACACGGGCATGCATCTATTTTTGCTAATTTTGCGATGTTTATTTATTGTTTTTATTTATATATTTTTCTATTTCTCATTTTTGTCTACATAATATCTGTGCATGCAATGTGTCGAATAAATGTTTTCTTTCTTTCTTTCTTTCAAGATTACTACTATTTATATAGTTGTTTCATGTCAATAAGACTTGTTATGCTCATTTCAGGTAAAACTGCAGAACACCCGCGAACAACTGACAACTTGTAGGAAGCACGGCGAGGCGGCCGACCTCAATGTCGTCTCTCTAGAGAGCAAGGTCCAGGACCTACAAGGTATGTTACCTTACTAAATACATATTTACCGATATAATTAAAAGCATACTTGTTATTCCTTTTCGTAAGCGTATTATTACGACGGTCGACTAAGGGCCGATTTTTCAATAATCAGTTAATTCTTAACTGTGGAATAAAATTGACAGTTGACAGTTTTTAGTATGGATGAAAAGTCAAATATTTAAAGTTATTCCTCAGTTAAAATTTATCTGGCAATGGAAAAATCGGCCCTTAACACGTTAAACGCCATGGGGGTCACCGGTGACCGACGTTAGCGGAGGATTTACCTTCAACAGTTTTTTATTGGCAGTCAAAGTCTTAGTAACATATTCTTACATCGAATGCTACAAAGGCTTGGATAAAAAGATTTTAAACATAATCTGCTAACTGTATTACAAACAGGTAAATTAGATCAAGCCAACGCCGACCTTCATCAACTCTTGCAAGAGAAAGAGTCCATGCAGAAGACGGTGGAGGCGCTCCGGATCGATAAGAATAACCTCGAGAGGAACCGAGTCGAGATCAATGCTATGGTGAGTTTCACAGGGTTGCGACTCGGCCAACGAGGCAGCTATTTTTTAGTTCAACACTAGAATTTTCTCCTGTGATTTCCATTTTTTTCTGTTTAACTTTATCTATGTTGAACTTAAAAGTTTTAAACATACAACGGATATTTCTGACTGCACGGTTGGCGCGGTGGCTGGGCAACTGGCTGCCGCGCAACGTGTCGCGGGTTCGATTCCCGCACGGAACAACTCTTTGTGTGATCCACAGATTGTTGTTCCGGGTCTGGGTGTCGTATATGTGTACATGTATGTTTGTAAACGCACCCACGACACAGGAGAAAATCATAGTGTGGGGCAACATGTTTTTAAAAAAAGAAAAAAAAACATTTACGATCACATTTAACATTTAAAATTTAATACACTATTTACAATACCTATCTTCATTTTCCCGCTGAATATTTCAGGTGGAATCTCTAACATCAGACTATGAGAAACTTCAAAAGATCAATTCTCGTCTAGAGAAAGCTATTGAGGCACTGGAGAGTGAGAAGAGGAACTTGAATGATGAGGTGGACCATCTACACCGCGAGGCGTCTAGCAGAGAGGCAGTGTTGAGGTATGTTTTATTGGATTATAGGTTTTGTTTTAGGTGGAATTGAGTTCAAATTGCGATTCTTATGTTGTCCTGTTAATGTAGTTATGAATAATTGAATGATATGTACGAGATTAGAATGGTAATATTTTTAGTATCAGACAATTTAATACCATAAGTATGCCTTATTAAAGTATATTTTGCATTGCACAGGGCCGAAGAAGAACGTGCTTCGCGTCTACGCTCGGAACTGGTGACCACCAGAGAGGAGCTCAACAAGACAGCGCTGGCGCGGGACTTGCTCGACCAACAGAAGATTGAAGCCGACGCCATACTCTCGCAGATGGAGAAACATAGGAGTCAGTGTCTAATTTTATTATATCGTATCTAATACAGTAGTCAAAAGTAACACAGTTGCCAATCCAATTTTATGCCATCTTGTATAATTTTCCGCAAAATATTATACAAATAGGCAAGCCTTAGAGTTGATTTTAGTTTCAATAATAATGACTTTGCACTTTTAGTTCCAATATGTAGGTACATTTCCAGAGTAACAACAATTTCAAATTTCGTTCTTTTGCATTGCCAATTTGCCATTTTATAGAATTTCATAGTAATCCCATTGTTTTTTGTTTAGGTGACCTAGAGATAGAACTGGAAAGGACTCTTATGGAGAGAAGTGATCTGCAAGACCTCGTGGAGAAACTGGAAGCGGCTGTGAGGAACCTTGAGAGTGACAAGAAGAAGTTGCATGAAGATGTCAAACATGTAAGTTCAGATTTTGTATGCTTTTGAAAAATTACGAAGTAGGTAAAACATATTCAGAAATATTAATGTTCATTTGTTGTATGTCTTTGGGTAAAATAATTTATTACTGTTATCCATGAAAAGTAAACTAAGCTCATAAGAATTTGTCATGGTCTCCTTGCCTGGCATGCCGGAGCCACGGAGGCATTAACGGGTCGCCGGGGCTCCGGCTCGAAGTGCAGGAGAAGGAACGGGGTGGTTTTTAGTCAGTAAGAATTTAACACTCGCTCTCGCCTCACCCAGGCGGTAGCATCATTCGATGACTTTCCACCTTCAGAAAAAGAATATGCCTGGCAGGCAGGCAGGATGGAGATTGCAGTTTAAAATGTACAAGTTTATAAGAAGTTGCTGCTGCCCGTACTACATAATTAATGTGTCAAATATGTAGTTCGGCAATTTACACTCAGTCACCTGCAGAAACAATAGCGGAGTCGCGGAGAACCTAACGGGTAACCGGGTCTCCGGCTCGACGTGCAGGAGAAGGAACGGGGTGGTTTTTAGTCAGTAAGAGTCTGACACTCACTCCCGCCTCACCTAGGCGGGAGCAGTCATTCGATGATTTTCCCCCCTCAAAAAAAGCGGTAGTGATAAATATATTGTGCCCTGACAATCAACTAAGTCTTTCTTATTGCTACAATATTTTTTTCTTGCTAGTTGGAAGATGAGAAGTCGAACCTATCAAGTCAGTCATCAGAACAGCAAGGAGATCTTAACTCCTTGCGCAAAGAGTTACTGGCTGCTGAACAAACTAGAATGGAGCTTGAGGCTGACAAGGCGTCTCTTTGTGAGAAGATCAAGTTCCTCGAAGGAGAGAGAGATAAAGTGGAGTTGGAGTTACGACAGGTTATGAGGTAGGTGTCCAGAATATGTTTTTAATACGAGAGAATTAGTTGAATTCCTAAAAAAGAAAGGAAAGGACAAAAGAATTTACAGTGAAAGGAAATGTGTCGTAAGCAACTCACTAAATGAAGTTCGTTTTAATATTTACTGGGCTAGTAAATTCTGAAATTGTGTGTTAACCCCTCGAGCGTTCTTATGAGCACCCGGTGGATCATAAGAAAAAAAGCTGCTTTCTCTTTTATAAAATCTATTATTAATGTTTTTTTTTATTTGGACTGTATTTGGTGTATTTCTATTGTAATGATCCTTGTTTTCGTGTGCCAATGGCCAAATAAATGCATTTTCTTGCATGCAAAAGGATAAGGAAATGCATAAGGAACGCGGACGCTCGACGGGTTAAGATGACTAATATCCAAACTGTAATGAGAGTAACTAGTGTTTTCTGTTTCAGTTTTTTATTGAAACATCATAACTTTATTACGTTTTACCAGTTCAAAAGTAAAATAAATATAAACGAAGTTATTCTATTAACTATTTCATTCAGGGAGCGCGGTGAGCTAAGCTCCCAATTAACAGCAATGGTCCGCAAGAAGGACACTTTGAACGAGGAGATCATACGTCTGCAGCAACGACTGGAGCAGGCCAATGAGACCATCGGCAGAATTAACAGGGCTCTGGAAGACCACGTCAAGGATGGAGAGGATAAACAGGTAAGGATTTACAGTTGAAATGAAAATATCTTTTTTTTAATACAGGTGATTTTATTTCGTACATTCATCGCATTATGACAAGAATAACAATATACATACATACATACATAACTACGCCTTTCTCCCATGGGGGTAGGCAGAGACTATGAAACGCCAATTACTATGATTCCTACACACCTCTTTCGCCTCATCAACAGTCATCAATCTTTTCATGCATGCTCGTCGGTTAAGGGTACTTTTAATTTGGCCCTTCTTTAATATATTACCAATCTGGTCACTATATATATAAGTCTAGGGTGTCCTCTACCGACGGCCCCATTAATAACAATATATGGGTTACAAAACTGTTGCACATGTTTAATTATAACCATGTATTTACAAAATCTACAAAACAGCGTTGTTACACTTGATCTTAACACTTGACATTGTCCGAACTCCGATGATGTGACCGACTTGGTTCCTGCTTACGTAAAAGCTCGTAATAGTATAATAGCCGCGAATAGAAGCTGGGTCAGCAGTCTGGGAACTGTATGACTACGGAATAGCGGTAAAGATGTCACGAAATGCGAATGTACCACTTGAAACTATTGTATCACGAGTTATTCATAAGAATATATCATTATGTTTTCGGCTTACTCACGTAATTATTTGACGAGGAACTCGACTAGTTTCAAGCCATTCTAGAGGCTCATATTCATGAGCAGCATTTCGAAACCCGCGACGCGGCGACTGTCGCACTACTTCGTCGTCAAATAATTACGTGAGTAAGCCGAAAACATAAGTATGTCTTACGAAAGTTATAATTTAAAGAAGAAAGAGGTCTGTTCATGCACGCAATAAACAATGACAAAAAAATTGACTTTTAAGGAGTTGGGCGTGATACTTCGACGACTGATTTTTGCTTTATACTTGCCTTCAGCTTAAACTAATCTCAGCTTCCAGTCTTACTTAACCCTTTGAGTACCGTCATTATAGACACAATTAAAGAACAATAGGTTGCAGTCACCGGTATCCTTGCGGTGTTTGACAGTTTAAAAACTGATGCGGTGTGTCTTTCTTCAGATCCTCATAGACTCCCTGGAGAAGGACAAGCAGCATCTGCAAGAGCAGTTGGCAGGAGTACGGTCGGAGAAGGACGCGCTGGAGGCCGTGCTGTTCGATACTGCCAACTTGTTGGAGGACACGGACAACAAGAGGAACAAACTGGAGCATGAGCTGCAGGAGTCGCTGGTGCAGCAGGAGAATTACAAGGGTGAGGAATATTGGAAGCTTTATTTATTTATTTATTTATCACTTACACTTCTATATAATAAACATATGATAGTCAACCATGGGGTGATGCAGAGATGTGCAACAGTAGGTGTAATAGGTATATTTAATTCAATTTATGTTACACAGAAAAAATTATATGAATAAATATAATGATTATGCATAACTGTAAATACATACATATATCCGTACATATAGGTATAATATTAATTACATAAGATACATTATCAATAGCTTTAGCATTTTTTTATATTTGATGGGGCGACATTTGACCACTATCTCGCCTGGTGGTAAGCCATGCACGTCGGCCCATAGCAACCTATTCACTCGGGCCTTGAAGACACCCTTCAGGAAACACAGACTCTGGCAAAGAATTCCACTCCTTAGCAGCACGCACAAGGAAGCTTGATGCGAAGCGCTTCGTGCGTGTGGGTGGAACATCTACCATGAATCGGTGAAGCTTCGCCGATTGTCTTGTGTTAAGAAGATGGAAAGAACTAGGGGGAATCAAACTGTACAATCCTCCGCAACTCACCAAAATATACCCGGTAGAAGCTAGGCCTATCCCTAATGGAGTCTATTATAGGTCCTCTGCATCCATTTCCTTGTCTGCTCCTCATCCAACACAAAATCTTTTAGCTAATTACATTAACCCATTCCCATATTTTAGTATCAGATACTTAAACTTTTCTTGATATAAATATAATAAATCAAATATTTCCATTTCCAGGTCAAATCGCCCGCCTCACGAAGGACCTAGAGAACAGTGAGCGCAAACTCCGCGACACTCGCAACTCTATGTCGCAGGCGTCGGGGAAGAAGGAGGCCGAGTACCAACAGATCATCACAAACATCAACCGAACTACTACTGAAAACATCACCAAGCTAAAGGAGGAGAAGGTTAGAAATAGATTTGTATGACATTATAATTAACTTTTAGCAAACAGAGAGTAAAGTTCCCTAAGATCGGAAAAGGAGGATCCTCCGACCAGGCGAGGTGTTCGTGTTCGTGCCTGGATTTTTCAATCCGTGGTAATTCGTATGTAAACTTCACATGTGTGAAGGAGGATTTTATGACGTTATCCGTTGATTTCTTTTCATCGATGGTATAGACCATACTATAGACCATTTACATATAGGTGGTTTTTAGTCAGTAAGAATCTGACACTCCCTCCCGCCTCACCCAGGTGAGAGCAGTCATTCGATGATTTTCCCCCCTTAAAAGAAAAACCGACATCACAAACGAATGCTCGAATGTCGAAAGGTTACTCAATTTAAAGGTGTACTTAAATGTCCTGCCATTTCTGTCATTTTACAAAGAATTTGTTGTGACAGAACTATACTTAAGTATCACTTCTAATTGAGTACCATTTGAGTATTTCGACATAAATCTTAGTTTGCCTAAACGGCGTCGGTGAACTTTGTAGGGAATCGACTTGCGGTGGCTTGACTTTAACAAAATGGAAAGTAAATTGCTAATAATCTTTTTCGATGATTGAAATGCTCAGAAATTTATGTTAATAAAACTTGCAAAAAATGTTATAGATGTAACGTTTATTTTTAATTTTGGAACTATCAATGACTAATATCAGGAGGCAAAATACTTGTATAACAAGATTTATCAATCAACATTTAAATTAATAAGTTATTTTATCAAATTTTTGTTTTCATTACAGGAACAACTCCGCCAAACACTAGAACACAAGCTAAGTCAGACTATAGCGGCGTTAACGAGTGATAAAGAGTCATGCGAGGCTAGCGCGCGGGAGAGGGAGAAGAAGCTGTTGATAGCGAGAGACCAACTTATACTGCAACACGATGAGGCCATGCTGAGAGCTGAGAATGATAAGCAACAGGCGTTGTTGATGGGTGAGAAAAATAATAATACTATTTTCGATTATTTTCCCTTTTCTTTTTATTTTAATTATTTAATTTTCTCTATTAGTTTTAGTGTAGTTACTGATAATTAATTAGTCTTGTATTAAAAAAAAACATAACATAACATCACGCCTTTTATCCCCGAAGGGGTAGGCAGAGGTGCACATTATACCACTGTACAATGTAACACCCACTTTTCACTATTTATGTTATGAGTCCTATGTAATAGGGGGTGAGCCTACGTAATATACGTAAAAAAAAACTAAATTTGATTTCGGGCCGATTTTTCAATCTTAATTCTTAATTATAGAATAAAATTGATATAATTGTCAGTTTTTATTATGGAAAAATTATAATTATCAAATATTGAAAGTTATTCCTCAGATAAAATTTATCTGGCGTTGGGAAAATCGGCCCTTAGTATAATATTATGCATTGAGGTTTTCGATCAACAATAACAACTAGATATCGGGTCGGCGCAAGAAAATCGTCTCGACAAATAAGAGCTCACTTGAGAAGTGAGCTCTTATATTGTTTAGTACGCTCCAAACACGGCCAACGTAATCACGTCTCACGATGCTGCAGTGCGTAATTGCAAATTGCAAAAATAATAACCGAAAAAGCAGTATAACGGCCGGAGTGTCTTACTTTCGATAAGTACATAAAGTATAAGTTATATTTTAAGCTTTTAAACTAGTAAATAATATTAAATTAGACAAAATTACCAATTATAAACCAACGCCACCAATGTTTGTGCGTGTGTTGGCCAAGACTCGCCAACACGCGCACAAACATTTGTTTAAACAGAACAGTGGATGCATGGAGTCGATTTGTATTGTAAAATAAAATTGTATTGTAACCTGATTGGAAAATAGTACCTATATAACCTATGGAGTTTCTTGCTCGTTCTTCTCCATAGGAATCTACACCTTAGAATGAGCAAATAGCTTCACTTTTAAATTTATATTGTTGACGTTATAAGTGCCTTCCTGGTCTAACTGAATGAAATAAATGATTTTGACTTAGACTTAGACTTTTAATGATAAAGTAAAAAACATATCATACACAAAAACGTACCGCTAATAAAAAAAGTGATGTAATCCCGAAATCTTAATTTTCATATTATAAAATTATTTTAGTGTTCAACGCGACTTCATACATACCTCCTGTAGGGAAATTAGAAATTTGAAGAAGTAAAACGAAACAAACCAAAACGATATAGATCGCAAGACAATAATTGAAAAATTATCTTTATTTGTTCAAGCTTAAGGTTGAATTCAAACTAGATATTGTATAACTTATGTCTTTTAATATCTACATGACAGGAGTAAGAAAATACTTTTCTCGTCTTATGTGACGAATGGTTGTAAGTATTAGATAATATTTTGACGATTTATGACTCTATTATTAGGTGCCATGGTTGTTATTAGGTTGAACTTAAAACTATTTTAAAACATTTTTCTGTTTGTTATTTTTTTTACTATTATTATTCACACGGACAGAACTGGGGCTTGATTTTGTACGTAACCCTTTATCTAGTTGCTATTGTTGATCGAAGATTGAGGTACATTTATTATTGTCAGAAATTATTTCGGAGATCTAAGTAAAGTATTTAATATTGCACCTGCTTTTTGTAAGTTGTGTTGTTCGTTGCCCTTTCAAAAGTGCCTAATCAAGAATTGATTGAAATAAATGCTTTCACGTTGACTTTGGTTATTCGGGACATTTGATATTACATCGTGTGCGATGAAAAACAGGTGTGATGAGAGTAATCTCATCACACCTGGATTCAAAGATACACATGTAAATGTGTATCCTTGAATCCAAGTTATATTATAGTGGTTGGCTTATTGTCATACTTTTGGAACGTGACGTAATTCTAGTATGCTCGACCGATTAGTTCAAGACATGACATGGGCTGGTAATCATGCACATCTTACGTGGTTACATCGCGCAGCTCTGTCTTAGATTAAAATTTGCTAAGCATACTCCAATCCTAAGATCGATAGATCCAGTGATTGGGTACTTTCCTTAATCAAAAATAAATTATACGACTGTTCAATACAATAAAATAAAAAAAAATAATCACACTTTCATCAATTGATTTTACGAACAACCTAATTTTAGTATTTTTAGAGCAAATTTAAGTACAACCTAATTTTAGTATTTTTAAGCAATAAGCAATAGTGTTTGACGCTATAAAATCGTGACGTCACAATACACAATCTCGTACAAAATTCATAGAAAATTGACGTTTTTTACAGTTCGACTTTGACTAGTTGGCAAGTACCCAATTAACGAAGATAAAACCAACATTATTGATCCCCAGCTCACCAAGAACAACAAGCCCTACTGGAGCGTCTAGAAGAAGCGAAGCGTGCGTTTGACTGCGAACAGAACAAGTTGGAGCGAGTGCGACGGGACGCGCATGCGCGGGCCGAGCAGGACAGGACCTACGTCAACCAACTCAAGGACGAGATGGCCGCGCTCAAGACACGCCTGGAGGAAGCTAAGTGAGTATACTTATATTATAATTATATCTTTTCTATAATTTTATTTCAGTTGGTGGCCGGAGGCCCAGCTCCCTCCCCCTTCCCCAATCTCTCCAATCCCCGAATCCCCAACAATCCTCAAACACCTAATCGCCGGTAGCGCACTTGTAACGCTTCTGGTGTTCCAGGTGTCCATGGGCGACGCCGATTGCTTACCATTAGGTGATCTGTCGGCTCGTTTAAGTCATATGCCATAAAAAAGTTGGTTATTCTGACATATGAAATTATGTAACCTTGCTTTATTGCCAGGTGTGAAAGTTAGTTAAATTAGAATTAGATTCAGGTTCAAGTTGTTTACCTCTTACCCTAAGTTCTTGATGTAAATGGTGTAGGTACCAACATAGTTTTGACTTTTTCGTCTGTCCAACAAATTGTACAGTATGAAGAACATTCTCATCACCCTCTTATTCTATTTTTTTATGGTATAAACCGGTAAACGAGCTGACAGATCACCTGATGGGAAGCAATCGGTGTCTCCCATGGACACCGGGGACACAAGAGGCGTTACAAGTGCGTTACCGGCCTTTTGGGGATTAGGAATTTAAGGAATGTTGAGGATTCAGGGATCGAGGAGACTGGGGAAGGGGGAGGGGATAGTTGGGTTTTCGGTAACTCACTTGCGGTCAATTAGCCCATGCGCCCCTTAGCACAGCTCTCCCACATCTTCCATAAAACACATTTTTCCTACAACAACTTTGTTTTTAAATTTCCAGAGCTACAGCAGAAGATGAGTGCGCTCGTTTCGAGAACCGTATCAAAGAACTACACCTTGAGAAGGAAGCCGTCATGCGCGAGTGTACTGAGATCCGAGCACAACTGTCTCTCGCTGAGGACAAGTACGATAATGCGTACGCGCAGCTACAGGATACCATGAGGAAGTTGAAGGAGTGTGAGTTGATATATTGTTTATATAGTTTTAAGTATCGTTGTTGTCAGTCACGTGAGGACTATTAAAAAAAAATAGTTCTTTCTTAATTTGTTACGCTAATTTGAATCTAGGGTAGACTACAATAAAGTCTGATTCTAAGTTTGTTACTCTAAATGTCGTCCTAAGTTTGTATTCATTTCCACAAGTTTTTGAATAATGATATAATTGAAATATTCAATATTTTATTCGTCAGTATCTCAAAAATCAGTATTATAAAGCAATCTAATTTCGATTTTTGAAGAACTGTCGAATGGGGTCTCTTATTTTAAGTCCATTATAGTAATGCCTCGGTTTTAAACTGTCAAACACCGCGAGGACACCGGTGACCGCAACCTCAATAGGTTGCGGTCACCGGTGTTCATCTTTAATTATGTCTATAATGACAGTACTCAAAGGGTTAAAAAGCGAACTCTTTAACTAAACCCACTTACAGAGCAAACAACATATTTTTAACATCACAGTAAAGTAAATCCTTTTCTCATTTCCATATTTATCTCTTTTTCCCAGTGGAGAATGAAGCGGACAGTCTCCGCAAGGAGCTGACGGACGTCCGGCGCCAGCTGACCAACTGCACGGCGGAGCGCGACAAGTACAACGCGAGCTGCCGCGAGCTGCGGGACCACGTCAAGCGGGCCGAGCACGAGCGCAGGGAGGCCGCGCGCGCCAGGGACGAGGCATACCATAAGATCGCAGGTCCAATACAACTACGCACATCAACACCCTATTTTTTTTAAGGGGGGAAAATCATCGAATGACTGCTCCCGCCTGGGTGAGGCGGAAGGGAGTGTCAGACTCTTACTGACTAAAAACCACCCCGTTCCTTCTCCTACACGTCGAGCCGGAGCCCCGGTTACCCGTTAGATTCTCTGCGACATCAACACCCTATAGATGCCCACTGCTGACCTAAGTCTCTTCTCACACGAAGATTATCTCTTAGTTTTGACATTGACTGCAAGGTTGGCGCGGTGGCTGGGCAACTGGCTGCTGCGCAATGTCTCGCGGGTTCGATTCCCGCACGAAACAACTCTTTGTGTGAACCACAGATTGTTGTTCCGGGTCTGGGTGTCATGTGTATGTGAACTTGTACGTTTGTAAACGCACCCACGACACAGGAGAAAATCCTAGTGTGGGGCAAAGTTTTTTTTTAAAAAGACTTATCCCAAGTCATCACACTATTTATTCTTCTTTTCTGTCAGTCGTCATCCCATCCCAAATTTCTTTCTCTTCATATCATTTTGCCTTGTCTTTAAAACAATTTTTTGAGTGTCGTCTTCGTCTTTAAAAATAGCACTTGTTCACAATATATTGATGAACAATAAACATTAAATTATTGTTGAGGGATGAATAATTACAATATAGACTTACAATGATTTAATTTAGTTTGTGAATGGATAAACGTTTATAACGTATCAACCTATGCACCCGAATCACTTTTGTCGGTCGCCATTGCGTTACGGAAAGTAGGGTAGTTTCCTAAATTTTATTTTAATGTCCGTCTGGTAGATTAATTTAAAACTTTAGACACTTTTTTTTCTTTTCTCACAAAATTAAATGCTTTCGACGATATATTAATTTGAAATGTCGTGTGATGTCACAGCGTGCTACAAAATGTAGCACGTTGTGACGTAACTACCTCCCACTCCTATACTTAACTCCGTTTTATCTAAGTATTGTAACTTACGAAAAAAAAAATACGTGTCTAATATTTTTTCATTATCTAACTGACGGACTGATTAGATTTTATTATATTTTATTTTTCGATATATACCTATTATGGTTCATAAAATTTAGTTAAATATCAACTTCAGGTTTGGAAGAAAACCGTACGACTCTCGATCTGGAATTGTCTCGCGTTCAGACAATGTTGAAGGAGAGCGAGACGGGAGGTGAACACGTGACCCGCGAGCTGAAGGCCACTGAGAACCAGCTCAAGAGGGAACGAGCTGCTTTGGAACAGGCCAACCATGATATCAAGGAGTTGCAGTCTAGGTATGTACATAGTAGAAAGATTATGACTGATATTCCGCGTACATATTATGTCTATTGTGGTATATAGAATTGGGTACTTGCCTCCATCAAAAATAAATTATTTCGACTGTTCAATACAATAAAATATTAAAAAGAAATCACACTGTCATTGATTGATTTTATGACTGTGGGGACACACAGACATACATTAATATGCACCGTTAGCATATTAGGAACTTAGCGTCAGTATGTAACCTAGCGTTTAAGGTATGAAATAAAAACAGTTGGCATTAGACTCTCGAGCGCATCATTTGTCTCCACACACTATACCCACAACAACAATGACCAACTTCATTTTAGTATTTTTCTAGCAAATTTTTAAGAAATAATTATCCTGTTTGACTTAAAAAAAACGTGGCGTCACTATACACAATCTCGTACAACAAAATTCATAGAAAACTGTCGTTATTGACAGTTCGAAAAAAGTATTGACTATTTGGCAAGTACCTAATTATGCCCGAATACTGAAACGCTACTCTATTTAAAGTCGCGCGTAATTATAGTTCTGTTACTACAAATTCTTTGTAAAATGACAGAAACGACACGATATTGAAGTACAACTTTAAATGGAGTAGCATTTCAGTATTCGGCCGTAAATGTGATGGTTAAAGTTTGGTGCATCATAAGTTTTATTTATTTTTTTGTGTTTATGCGATATTTTACCTTATCGACATGACTTAGGAGTTACTAGTTATAATTGTCGTTAGGCATATTAAATTGTCTTTTTGAATTTACTCTCAATACTGTTAGATGAGGTAAGTCAACTAGTTTTAAACTACGCGTGGCGTTCATAGTCTTGAACAGTATTGTGTGACATAGGACGTGGAGAACGTCGCGCATCTAACTGGCTACTAGATGTTTTCTTTCGCATCATTTCTATTTACCAAAGTCTATGTAAGTAGGTAGCAGGATGTTATGGATATGAAATTTCGGATACGGATTGGATACGGATATAGAAATGATTATTATACTGGATACGGTTACGGGTACGGATATGAAATTATTTCGGATTATCCATTAGTTTCGGATATTAAAATTTTGAGGAATTTCAAAAGTAAAATACAAATAGCTAATATAATTGTTTCGTTTATACGTCACGCTGCTATCCGATAGTATCCGAAACTTTTATTTCGGATTCGGTTACGGTTACGGATATTTTTTATATCGGATATCCGATAGTTTCCCTAACATCCCTGGTAGGTTGAGCGTTGGGATTTAGTGCAGAATTAAAAGTTAGTTACCTTAAAGTACCGATTTAAATCCAAAGTGTAGCCTAAGATTGATTTTGTGACATTAGTTCTATATAGTTTCTGTCAAATCAAGATCGATCCATCTATCCAGGTTGTGGAATAAAGATTTAACATAATATGGAAAGTATTTAATTAACTGTCTGTTAATCAGACTGCAGAACGAGTGCGAGGAGCGCGAGCGCTGCGCGGGCGACGCGGCGGCGGCGCGGCGGCACGGCGCCGAGCTGGAGGCGCTGCTGGCGGCCGCGCGCGCAGACCTGCAGGCCTGCAGGCAGCGCGCCGCTGACCTGGACGAGGCCTGCCGGGCCAGGGACCAGGTACACTCTATTACTGCAAGTTTTATTTCATTATAGATCTGGCAGAAGCCTGCCTCACTGGACACCAGATACATAGGTACTAGAAGTAGTACTACTACTGCATTTTGTTTGTATTTTGTTTTTCACCTCAGTTGTTAGTGGCGTGGTAAGTGGTAATATTATGGTTGCGGCTCAATATTATTCTTAGTACTATTTCAGCTCAAATTTTCTCGCTAAGCAGTTTATCCACTTCTTACATTTTAGTACTTATAAATAAATCTACATCTTAAATTAACCTTTAAGCTAAATGTAAATAACTTTTCGATGACGTAATGAAAGGTGATATGCGTGGTACTTATACAAATTTTAAAATTCAGTATTAAACACAACTTAATAAAAGACTAAGTAATATAGACAACACAATTGTAAAGTAGCCTTTATCTTAAATTACTTGGGGCGACATAATTTTCTTGTTTATCTTTTCCATTTTTATGTATATGACATTATCACATAACATCCGATTTTGTTTCATGTCAATCCTCACGTTATCTTTTTATTTTGTTCTTTCATGTGATTAGGAGCTGGTACTGCGCCTGGAAGACTGTCGGTCCAAGGAGCGTCGACTGGAAGAACTGAAACATAACCTCGAGGTGTGCCTCGCTGACGCCACCCAGCAGATACAGGAACTTAAGGTCGGTATTTACAGATTTTATGAACATTAACGGTCAGTACTTTAGTTAATGAAGTGATATTATCGAGATTTTTGGGACTAGGGTCTGCTGTCCTCTAAGATTATAGATAAAGAGAAGATTCTTCGACCAGGCTGGCGATGACGTCTGGCGGGTTATTCACCAACAGTTGTACATTGGAAACTTGTGTCATGTCATTATAATAACTCTCGTGAGACATACTAAATTAAGTAAAAACGCGGGTTACTCAGTGAGCTGCGCGACGTCGCCGCGACCGCGCACGCTGTTCATGAGGAAGAACCCCTTTGTGGTTCGAAACTAGTAGAGCTTTTCTCAGTATATTCACGTGAGTAACCCGCGTTTTTACTTAATTGTGTCATGTCCGTTAGAAATCGAAACAATTTCAGAAGCAAAAGATATGTTTGTGAAGCGTGAACCAAGGATTTGTGTTGCAGGCTCGACTAGGCGGCAGTGAGGGTCGTTGCCGTGCGCTGGAGGCGTCCCTGTCGCAGTGCGAGACCGGGCGGCGCGAGGCGGAGGCCAAGTTGTCGTCCGTCGCGCACGGACTGCGCCGCGTGTGTGGCCTGCAGCCCGACGGGTCCGTGCACGCCGCCTGCAGGAAGCGACTCGCCAGCCCCGCGCGACGGTACAGCCCGCACAGAGGTACTGGCGCACTACTTATACAGCACATACTGCAGGAAGCGACTCGCCAGCCCCGCGCGACGGTACAGCCCGCACAGAGGTACTGGCGCACTACTTATACAGCACATACTGCAGGAAGCGACTCGCCAGCCCCGCGCGACGGTACAGCCCGCACAGAGGTACTGGCGCACTACTTATACAGCACATACTGCAGGAAGCGACTCGCCAGCCCCGCGCGACGGTACAGCCCGCACAGAGGTACTGGCGCACTACTTATACAGCACATACTGCAGGAAGCGACTCGCCAGCCCGCGCGACGGTACAGCCCGCACAGAGGTACTGGCGCACTACTTATACAGCACATACTGCAGGAAGCGACTCGCCAGCCCCGCGCGACGGTACAGCCCGCACAGAGGTACTGGCGCACTACTTATACAGCACATACTGCAGGAAGCGACTCGCCAGCCCCGCGCGACGGTACAGCCGCACAGAGGTACTGGCGCACTACTTATACAGCACATACTGCAGGAAGCGACTCGCCAGCCCCGCGCGACGGTACAGCCCGCACAGAGGTACTGGCGCACTACTTATACAGCACATACTGCAGGAAGCGACTCGCCAGCCCCGCGCGACGGTACAGCCCGCACAGAGGTACTGGCGCACTACTTATACAGCACATACTGCAGGAAGCGACTCGCCAGCCCCGCGCGACGGTACAGCCCGCACAGAGGTACTGGCGCACTACTTATACAGCACATACTGCAGGAAGCGACTCGCCAGCCCCGCGCGACGGTACAGCCCGCACAGAGGTACTGGCGCACTACTTATACAGCACATACTGCAGGAAGCGACTCGCCAGCCCCGCGCGACGGTACAGCCCGCACAGAGGTACTGGCGCACTACTTATACAGCACATACTGCAGGAAGCGACTCGCCAGCCCCGCGCGACGGTACAGCCCGCACAGAGGTACTGGCGCACTACTTATACAGCACATACTGCAGGAAGCGACTCGCCAGCCCCGCGCGACGGTACAGCCCGCACAGAGGTACTGGCGCACTACTTATACAGCACATACTGCAGGAAGCGACTCGCCAGCCCCGCGCGACGGTACAGCCCGCACAGAGGTACTGGCGCACTACTTATACAGCACATACTGCAGGAAGCGACTCGCCAGCCCCGCGCGACGGTACAGCCCGCACAGAGGTACTGGCGCACTACTTATACAGCACATACTGCAGGAAGCGACTCGCCAGCCCCGCGCGACGGTACAGCCCGCACAGAGGTACTGGCGCACTACTTATACAGCATACTGCAGGAAGCGACTCGCCAGCCCCGCGCGACGGTACAGCCCGCACAGAGGTACTGGCGCACTACTTATACAGCACATACTGCAGGAAGCGACTCGCCAGCCCCGCGCGACGGTACAGCCCGCACAGAGGTACTGGCGCACTACTTATACAGCACATACTGCAGGAAGCGACTCGCCAGCCCCGCGCGACGGTACAGCCCGCACAGAGGTACTGGCGCACTACTTATACAGCACATACTGGTTGCGGCCTGCAGCCCGACGGGTCCGTGCACGCCGCCTGCAGGAAGCGACTCGCCAGCCCCGCGCGACGGTACAGCCCGCACAGAGGTACTGGCGCACTACTTATACAGCACATACTGCAGGAAGCGACTCGCCAGCCCCGCGCGACGGTACAGCCCGCACAGAGGTACTGGCGCACTACTTATACAGCACATACTGCAGGAAGCGACTCGCCAGCCCCGCGCGACGGTACAGCCGCACAGAGGTACTGGCGCACTACTTATACAGCACATACTGCAGGAAGCGACTCGCCAGCCCCGCGCGACGGTACAGCCCGCACAGAGGTACTGGCGCACTACTTATACAGCACATACTGCAGGAAGCGACTCGCCAGCCCCGCGCGACGGTACAGCCCGCACAGAGGTACTGGCGCACTACTTATACAGCACATACCGGACTGCCACGATGGAATATGGCACGCAATTACAACTGCCCATACATACTGACAACATCAAGGAACCCTCATTTAAAGCATTACCGACGTTGCCGTCCGTACAAAAAGGCATTCGCTATTTTCTTGAAAGTTTAAAGGTAGTATAGAGCTATACTTATATTATAACTTTCGTGAGACACATACTAAATTAGTTAATTATGTTTTTCGGCTTACTCGAATGATTTAACGAGGAACTCGACTAGTTTCAAGTCATGCTAAATGTATCATCTTCATGTCGCAGTTGCGACGCGACAATTGTCGCGTCGCGTGTCGCGGAATGATGCTCATAAATATGATAATTACGTGAGTAAACTGAAAATCATAATAATTAAGTCGTGTGCCTTTTATCTTACTTTTAAAAACTTAGAACGTTACAGGATCACATCCACTCTCTAAAGAGTGCTCGATTAATAAAAAAAAGTTTAATATAAAACACGACTTTCAATTAGATTTTAAACTATATAGACAAAATTAATTATTATGTGTAATTAAAACTAAATAATCTACTACAGACCAATATTTTGTACATGTCCAATGTCCAGGTTTCCGTAAAACATCTTCATTCCTTAAATTCGATCATGTGTTTGCTTGTAAACGAATCGCTCGTTTCTTTCAGGTCGAGATCACTCAGAGGATCGCAATGAGATCATAGACGTAGATCCGGAGCTCATCAAGAAAGGAATGCGTAACTTGATGCATGATGTGTGCCAGATTGAGAGGGAAAAGGTACTTATTATTTATTTTGTACGTTTACATTTATAACGTTTTGTACGTATGTTTATAACTAGTATTAGTATTGTGTTTGACCTAAAAAAAGTATGAGAAATCACAATCTATTCTACATATTTTGAAAACAGAAGTTTTGCCCACACTTACATGGGACTCATAACATAAATTTCATTTAAATTGTATTTTTTTTAAATGTGATGTTTATTTATGTGTTTCATTTTTTTTCTTCTTTTTCTATTTGTAACTGTAACTTGTCTTGTTTTATTGTAACTGTTTGATTCTCTTTGATTTCTCTTTGTATGTGTGTTAATGTAATTGGTGTAAAGCCGTGTTAATATCACAATCCTTACTAATATTATAAATCGGAAAGTAAGTTTATTTGTTTGTTTGTTCCACTTTCGCGTCGTAACTACTGAACCGGTTGCTTTGAATTTTTGCAGACGTGAAGTTAGAAGTCTGGATTGAATAATAGGGTACTTTTTATCCGGAAAAAAATTGATATTCTCGAGGTAAAACGAAATTATTGGTATAGATGGCGCTGTGTGTATTGGTATATGTCACATAGGCTACTTTTTATCCTTTTATGACGCGAGCGAAGCCGCGGGTAAAAGCTAGTAATAAATAAATAGTGAAAAGTGGGTGTTACATTATACAGTGGCATAATGTGCACCTCTGCCATCCCTTCGAGGATAAAAGGCGTGATGTTATTTTATGTTGAAATTATTACACCGAAATCTTTTGAAATATATTTTAGTTTACGCCTGAATACTGAAAGACTACTCAATTTAAAGTTGTACTTAAATATCGTGCCGTCTCTGTCATTTTACAAAGAATTTGTAGAGACAGAACTATACTTAAGCGCGACTTAAAAATGAGTGGCGCTTGAGTATTTAGGCATTAATGAGGTAACTTAAAGTAGCAGGGAGCTGCTGGATGCAGGTCGCTTCCAACCGGCCTATCTGGAAGTCATTGGGGGAGGCTTGTGTTCAGCATTAAACGTCCTTTTTTTTGAATGGCATAAGCCGGTAAACGTGCAGACGGATCACCTGATGGTAAGCAATCGGCATCGCCTATGGATACCTGGAACACCAGAGGCGGTACAAGTGCGTTACCAGCCTTTTGGGGATTAGGAGTGTGAGGATTGTTGGGGATTCAGGGATTGGGGAGATTGGGGAAGGGGAGGGTAATTCGTCCTGTGGCCTAATGATAATGATGATCCGAGCGTACGGCGCGTCGCGTTCCGCGCGCGCCTCAAAGAGCCATCAGACCACCACAGATGGGGCCCAATAGGGCCGATGCCGATTCGGAGTCGCGGAGAACCTAACGGGTAACCGGGGCTCCGGCTCGACGTGCAGGAGAAGGAACGGGGTGGTTTTTAGTCAGTAAGAGTCTGACACTCCCTTCCGCCTCACCTAGGCGGGAGCAGGCATTCGATGATTTTTCCCCCCTTAAAAAAAAAATGATAATGATGATGAGGTAACTTGTACCTACGTAATTTGTGTGGTTTCAGGACGACTACAAGTCGCAAGTGAGCATGTTGAAGAAGCAGTTGAAGGACGCGAGCGAGCAGCAAGGCAAGGGCGACACCAAGCTGCAGGCAGTGACCAGCAGCCTGCGCGCGCTGCAGGAGGAGAAGGCGCGCCTGCAGGCCGCGCACGGACAGAAGGAGGCGCAGATAAACGCACTCGTGAGTTTTATTCTTTTCTAACATAACATTTTTTTTCAGATATTTTTGTGACTGCTCGGTTAGTGAAGTGTGTGTCGCGGTTTCTATTCCCGCACGGAGCAACTCTTTGTGTGATCCACAAATTGTTGTTCCGGGTTTAAGTGTCATGTGTATGTGAACTTGTGTTTGTAAATGCACCCACCCACAGGCCTTTGTCGAAAGACAAGCTGTTGTAAGAGGAGAGAAACCGATTGCTGAGATAATGTTAGAGTAGTTTTTAAGTTTGTTTATTTTTAACTCTGTTACAACTTTGGTTACAACTGTAATTTTTGTTTATTGTAACTACAGCAATAAAGGCTTATTTTATTTCTATTTTTTATTTTATAAATGCACCCATGATACAGAAGAAAATCTATGTAGGGCAACATTTTATAAAGAAATAATAAAATAATGTTATAAGTAATATTTGATCATAATTAATGATTTTAACTTGCTTATCATTCGATTTAGAAATGTAAAGTTAAATTGTTTTTATATTTAAGAGATATGGATATATTATGACATTCTTAGATACACTTGTTATAGTTTATTCAGGACTTAAAGGGCTGATTTTTCCATTGCCAGATAAATTTTATCTAAGGAATAACTTTGAATATTTGACAATTCTTCCGTAGTAAAAACTGTCAAATGTCAATTTTATTCTATAGTTCAGAATTAACTGATGATTGAATAATTAGCCCTAAAGCTAATAACAAATTTTTCCATAAGTACTGGAGACAGACATATTCTTTTTTTATTCTTTTTTTAACACTTTGCCCCACATTAGGATTTTCTCCTGTGTCGTGGGTGCGTTTAGAAACATAACTCCACATACATATGACACCCAGACCCGAAACAACAATTTGTGGATTACACGAACAGTTGTTCCGTGCGGGAAGCGAACCCACGACACGTTGCGCGGCAGCCGGTTGCCCAGCCACCGCGCCAACCGTGCAGTCAATATGTTCAAGAGTTTACATAAACCGTCGAAAAATATCGTCTAGTGTTTCCAGACTGACTTAATTACACATTCGCATGTCTATTGTGTTTATTTCAGAATGAATCTGTACAAAGTAAGACTCTGGAAATTAGCAACTTGCGAGACAAGATCACAAGCCTAGAGGCAGCGTTGTCGTCAGTTACTGAAGAGAAAGTTCAGAATGAGGTAAGACATAAAAACTTTGCATTATACTTATATTTCCCTTAAATTAAATAATGCTTCTGGATATTGTTGTCAATGAGTTTTAATAATGACTGCCTCATTGGCCGAGTGGTCGCAAGTGCGATTGCCGGGCAAGGGGTCTCGGGTTCGAGTCCCGGGTCGGGCAAAGTATTACTGAGTTTTTACAAAATTCTCAGTAGTAGCACGGAGTCTGGAATTGTGCCCGGTATATGGCAATAGGCTCATCCCCTATTACATGGGACTCATATCATAAATAGTGAAAAGTGGGTGTTACATTGTACAGTGGCATAATGTGCACCTCTGCCTACCTACCTCTTCGGGAATAAAAGGCGTGATGTTATGTTATGTTGCTATGAGTTTTAATAACACGATATTTCATTGTCAGAACAAAGGAGACAATCTTAGAGTACAGTTGGCGGAACGTGTGCAGGAGGTTGGTCAACTACGTGAAGCGCTTGCAGCGGCTGAAGGTACGTGATAAGTTTTTCTATATAACTAGCTACTTCCGCGCAGTTTCACGCGCTCTGCTCAGCTCCTATTGGTCGAAGCGTGATGTTTTATAGCCTATAGCCATCCTCGATAAATTCGCTATCCAAAACAAAAATAATTATTCAAATCAGACTTGTAATTACGGAGATTAGAGCGTTCAAATAAAATAAAAAAGCCTTTTATTTCCTTCAGAAAATGTACACTTACAATACAAACGTAAGTAAGTAAGAGCGTTCAAACAAACAAACAAAAAAACAAACTCTTCCGCTTTATATAATAGTAAAAGATATAAGATTACACACCACAACAGACTAAATATCAGTCAGTTTCAGGGTTGAGTAAACCAATATTCAAGTTAAATAAGTTGCATAAAATGGAATATGTCGAAGATAAGTACGAGTGTTTAGTGTGATGATTCTTTCCCAGGTCGTGCGTCTCGTCTAGATGTCCGTCGCGCTCAGTTGGAGGGCGACGTACAGAGAGCCGCCGTCGCAGCTAGGGACAGAGACCAAGCTCTGAAGGTATAGTGTAACTTTCATCATCATCAACAGCCTATAAATGCCCACTGCTGAGCAAAGCCTCTTCTCACACGGAGAAGGTTTAAGCATAAATCGCCACGCTTGCTTAATGCGGGTTGGCGATTACAAACTTATAATTAGAAATTATAAGCCCAGGTTTCCTCATGATGTTTTCCTTCACCGTTTGTCAGTGGTGTCTAAATAATCTTAGAAAGTACATATAACTCGGAAAAAGTCACATTGGTACTTGCCGTTGGTAGGTTTCGAACCCGCACTCTCATGCATGAGAAGCGGGCGTCTTATACCTCCGGGCCACCACAACATTTTTTTTGTAACTTTATTAATTAGTAATTAACTGAATTGATGTGTATTCTAAACACAAACGGATCAAATTAGAGATCTATTTTAGCACCACCTAAAAGTCCAGAAAAAATATTATTATATCGATTTTACAACAGTAAAACGATAACAACAACGACCCTATCACTAAATGGTTAAAACCTCTTTTGTAAGCATTAAGTACATTAAGTGACGAGGAACACGTAATAATTTGAAATGCTGCTCATGAATATGAGCCTCTAGCATGGCTTGAAACTAGTCGAGTTCCTCGTCAAATTATTACGTGAGTAAGCCGAAAACATAATAATTTATTTAGTATGTCTCACGAAAGTTACAATACTCTGTACATCTTAAAATGTTCAATAAAACATTCTCTTCTATTTGATTGATAATAAATGTATACTTTCAATAAGCCATTTTAACGAAACTACCGACCAAAATACTTACTTTAAACATTACAGAAATTACAAGAACGATGTGAAGGCTACACTCGCACTATAGCCCAACTAGAAGACCGCTGTACTTCCCTCAAAGGCACCGTGGAACAATTGTCCACCGCACTGCAGAAGGCTGCCGCGGCCGAGGCAGAACTTCGGTCAGAACTCGGCAAAGTTACAAGACAACTTAATGAAGCTAAGAACAATGAACATAATGCTGTTGATAAGCTGAGACAGATACAGAAGAGTGTGTGTAAGTAATTATTTACTTTATGTCTTTGTCATCGTGATCAGTTGTAACTTGATCAGTGTTAAACAACGTACCTTAGAATGTAAGATCATAAACTTAACATCTTTATAATCACATGCTTTATTTTATTTAACAGTCGTCTACTTCGTTAAAAGATACAATAAAAGTATATTGTGTATGTAGAGCAACAGTTTAAAATCTGTACTCGCATAGACAATAATTTGTGCCTAATAGTTTTGTATCATCTATTGATATATTCTAAAAAAGGCAAAGATTACGTTCCAAACTTAAAACTGTATTTTTTTCTAAAAATTATGATGACTATATCTTCCATCCAGCGAGCTGTGAGAACGAGCGGCGAGTATTGACGGAGAAACTAGAGAGTGCTAAGGCGGCGCTCGGAGAGATGAAGAGGATGAACTCCTCACTCGAGGACCAGGTGCACAGACTCACCAATCAACTCGCCAATCTTGAAGTGCAGAGGTAATAACTTAATCTTCATTAACTTTATATTCTAAGTTATACTCATTACCTTTGCATTTTGTTTTCTTAATCAAATTGTAGTTCAGTTTGTATAACGTGATATGAAAAAGGGACATAAAAATGTTTGTTAAACAATAGTGAAAATGTTAAGTGTGGGAGAACCATGCTTCGGCACAAATGGGCCGGCTCGACCGGAGTGATGCACGGCCTCACAGAAAACCGACGTGAAGCAACGTTGCGTTTTGTTTCGTCGTGTGAGTGAGGTTACCGGAGGCCCAATTAACAATTAATAAACGGCATATTTGTTCAACTACAATACTTCACTTTTTTAAATATATTGGTTGATTGATTCTGTGTTGTTTATGGGGCTTTTGACCACTAGGGTATAATAATGATTAATTATTCTTTTTGTTAATTATGAGATTTGCATATTAGATTTTTGTTGTATTTTTTTCGGGATATTATTTAGTAAACTTTAATTTAACCCTTTTTGAGTACCGTCATTATAGACACAATTAAACTGTCAAACACCAAGCGGTCACCGGTGACCGCGACCTATTGTTCTTTAATTGTGTCTATAAAACCGGTACTCGACGAGTTAAAGAACAATAGGTTGCGGTCACCGGTGTCCTCGTGGTGTTTGACAGTTTAATTTAATTAAGATAACACTATCATAACCCTGCCATTATTGCTGTTACAATGCATACAAAACTGAGCAATGGTATGGGTTATATATTTACTAGCTGTTTAGTGTAAGACTTTTTATGAAAATTGTGACATGGAATATATTTTAAATTTTAAAGTATTATGACTCTGTAAATAGTAATTTTTAGTTTTCTTTTATTTAATTTGTTCCATTAGTTTGGGTGTCTCTCAAGTTGTACATATTTGTTTTTTTCCTTTCCTTATATTGTATGAAAATTTTAATATGAAACTGTTTTTATCCCTTAATCCTTACTAATCCGTTCTGTTTTCACGCCGTAACCATTTAACCGATTACTTTGAATTTTTGCATACGTAAAGTTAGAAGTTCGGATTAAATAATTGGGTACTTTTTATCCCGGAAAAATTTTATATTCTCGAGGGAAAACAAAAGTATTGGCATAGATGGCTCTGTGTGTATTGGTATATGTCACATAGGCTACTTTTTATCGCGCGAGCGAAACCGCGGGTAAAAGCTTAATACATACATACATAAATAAATTTACCAAGATTCTTTTTGGGTGAACATTGGTCATTGTGTATATTTTGTAACCTAACACTTTTAATTACAATAGAAACGTTCATTTCTCCAAAGGTCCGCCTTCGAGTCCCAACTACGCATGACGACATGGGACGGCAAAGAAAGCAACAGTGACAGTGAGTTAGAGAGAGAACTACACCAACTACAACGCGACCGAGCTGAACTGAAGTCCAAGTGCGAAGTACTGCAGGACACTGTACGCAAGTTGGAGGCTGAGCGGCGCATGGTCAGGCCACCGCTCAGGAGCAAGAGCCATGATAGAACTGAGAAGAGTGTCTACTATTCTGATTTGGACTCTGGTAAGTTATCCGATTTATACCTGTATTAAATGACTTCATTGGCCGAGTAGTCGCTAGTGCGACCGCCGGGCAAGGGGTCTCGGGTTCGATTCCCGGGACAGCCAAAGTATTACTGGGTTTTAAAAAAAAATCTCAGTAGTAGCACGGAGTCTGGAATTGTGTCCGGTATATGGCAATAGGCTCACACCCTATTACATGGGACTCATAACATAAATAGTGAAAAGTAGGTGTTACATTGCACCTCTGCCTACCCCTTGGAGAATAAAAGGCGTGTTGTTATGTTATATTAAATGAATACATAAAGTCTATTTTCCAATGGCCTTCGTGGAGGTGCGCATATTAGAAATCAGTTTAGCCATTTGTTTTATGACTCTTATGGTGAAATGCTCAAATATCACTGAATTTTAAGACGCTCTAAAGGATAGTTCTGTCAATACAATCTTTTTATAAAATTATAGAGGTAGTACGATATTTAAGTACAACTTTAAATGGAGTAGCATTTCGGTATTCGGGCGTTAGGTAATTAATTGCTTAAGTTGTGGTCGCAAGTGTGATTACCGACCCGAGCGTACGGCGCGTTGCGTTCTGCGCGCGCCTCGAAGGCCCTTCAGACCACCACGGATTGGGCCCAATTAGTGCTGATGCAGATACGGGGTTTCTGAAGTTTTCTTAAGAAGTGCAAGGTTTCGATTGTATCAGTTCGATCAAGTGCAAGGTGTCGATTGTATTAGTTGTATCGGTTCGATCAGTACTAGCATGGAGTCTATGGTTCTACTCTGTGAAGTGTGTATAGCAGTAAGATCCCCAACCTTTTTATAGAATTTCAAATATGAGAACATAACAATTTGAGAATCGTAAAACGAGGTGAGTAGAATTCGAGGAGTCAATAGAGACAGAAGAAGGGTTAATATACAGTGGGAAATTTTCATAGTATATATTTACCCCTTGAATCCTATTCACCCCGTTTTACTCGCTAGGTAAAATATTACTTGTACATGGTATAGACAGATAATCTTACACTATCTAAATACATAAATTATCCTTAAAAGCACAATTTGTCTATAATTATGTTTCTCTTAGGTCCAGACTCCACCAAAGACTCGTCGACACGTGGCTACAAAGACTCTTCCAACATTCCTTGCAAGGACAAGGGCTTCACTACAGACCTGAGCCTCATTGAACTAGAGAACAGGGAGCTCAGGATGAAGATCCGACGCCTGGAGAAGGAACTAGCTGATAAAGTAAGTTATTACTTAACCCTAGAGTGGGCGCGCTATAGGCATTTGCTGAACGAATTAATCGTTGATAACTTTTTAAACTATTGCCCGATAGTCTTGCATTTTTAATAGCTGCCTTTAGTCTCGTTAGCAATGCGTACTGAAAGGGCTGGCTGCGTTAGGGATTGTTTGAGAAGACTTTTGTTACCACCAGGTTTTGCTGGGCGGCAAAATGCTCACTGACATTTCGTTAAGCCGCATCCACTTAACAGGTTCTATAGTCATCATAAATATAAAGATTGTTTTAGTACAGGCAGTAGCTATGGTTGTATATGATTGTATGCTTATTTTTGATCATTAATGAAACTTTTTTGCTACCATTCGAGTTAGTATAATTCTTATATTTATGTATGGTCTCGGTTCAATTAGGATATGTTTTCAATTAAAAATCAATTATATCGACGATAAATTTTTATTGCATTTAAAAATACATAATCTCGATTCCATTATTGATAATTTACTTAATTTTCACGCAATTAACCTGTGATTATGACGTCAGAATTTGCGTATCTTGTACAAAATTCAATTCATAGAAACTTATCTTTATTGACAGTTCAAACGAAGTACTTAAATATTGTAATTGACTACCTGGAATTCCTAGCATTTGTAATGTTTTAAATAAGTAATTGAAAATATCTTATTGTCCTACTAATCTTATATATATAAAAGAAAGTCGTGTTAGTTACACCACTTATAACTCAAGAACGGCAGAATAGATTTGGCTGAAAATTGGTAAGGAGGTAGTTTAGAGCCAGGAGACCGACATAGGATACTTTTTAACCAAAATTATTATTTTTTTTACTTTTTACCGAAAATCACGAACGGGGACGGGAATAAATGGGATTACGCGTACGAAGTCGCGGGCAGAAGCTAGTATTATAAATAAAGTTTATGAGGACGTATGTGTGTTTGTTACTCTTTCACGTCAAACCGGCTGAAGGTATCGAGATGGAATTTGGAACAGGGTTAGATTATGGTATGGAATCAAACATAGGCCACTTTTGTCCTACGGAAACGTGGTTGAAGCCGCTGGATAGTCATGTATAATGTCTTTTATCATTATTAGGCTTCATTAGACCATTATCTAACTAGTTTTATTGTTCTAGGAGGCGGAGCTAACAATGGCTCGTACAAGATACCTGACCGACCTGTCGAGCATGTCTCCGTCCCGTCGCAGCGACGTGGAGCACTACCGCCAGGCCGCGCTACAGGCCGAGCGACTGCTGGAGAGCAAGGAGGCTTCCTACCGACAACAGATCATGAGGCTGGAGACACAGGTACCGTTTCTATGTGGTTTTCTGGGATGAATACTAAAAATTTTGGGGTTCGTTCCAGCTTCATAATAGTGGCTTCAGTGGTCACCATCTACCTATAACGGGATCCTTTTAATCATCAGTTCCGAAACTCTCACCAGTGCATCAGTATGAATTAGATGGCGATCTGTCTCTCCCGTCAGTGCGTCTGGTCACGTATGCGTGTCGTGATAAATCAACAACTACCTAATGGATTATTATATAGTTTTCGCAAGTGTATAAAACATATTAAAGAGATATTAAATTGTGTAAAACATGAAAATTTCTAGTTCTACGGGCAAAGATGGAAAACTGCAACTAAAACAAAAATTTTAAAAATGAAAATTATTCCTTTTTTTAGATATATACTGTGTAATAATTTCAATCATATTTTGTCTTCGTACAGGCGTCTCAGCTCCGCTCTCAGCTGACAGCGGAGATCCGTCGTCGCCAGGCATACATCGCCCGCAGCGGGCGCGCCGCGCGGGACGTGCAGAGACTGCGCTCCGCACTCGGGGACTCGCTGCGGACTGTCTCACAGGTAACTAACTAACTCGTTATGTCATCATCATCATCAGCCTGTATTCGTCCACTGCTGGACATAGGCCTCTCCTATGGCACGCCACTGAGCTCGGTCTTCAGCTCTTCTTATCCAACCACTGCCAGCCACCTTGCAGATGTCGTCACTCCACCTAGCTGGAGGGCGCCCTACACTGCGTTTGCCTAGACGCGGTCTCCACTCTAGAACACGTTTACCCCAACGGTTATCGGTTCTTCGACAAATGTGACCGGCCCACTGCCACTTCAGCTTACTGATCCTTTGGGCTATGTCGATAACTTTGGTTCTCTGTCGGATCACTTCGTTTCGGATTCGATCCTTCAGAGAGACTCTGAGCATAGCCCTCTCCATAGCTCGCTGCGCGACCTTAAATTGGTGGACCAGTCGCACTGTCAGTGTCCACTCGTTATGTATCTATGTTTTAAAGAAAATCTAGAATGGACAAGCAGTCTACAATCATCTGGAAGAAATGAGGCTACCTTAAAGTTTTAGAGAGAGGATTACATGTAGCAGCTCTGCATGCCGTTCGACTTAATGTTAGCGCTACAAAATAATACTTGACAACACATTTTAACAGGAGTGGGCAGAATAGGGTAGATGAGTAATTTTTATTTTAATGTCCGTCTGGTAGATTATTTAAAAACATTAGACACGTATTTTTAAATTTTTACGGAAACGAATAGTTTCGAAGATATATTGATTTGAAATGTCGCGTGACGTCATTTCTATGTACATTTTAAACGTAGAAATGACGTTTTAGCCCCCACTCCTAAACTTTGATTCGTTATATCTAAGTATCATTTTAATATACAACAAAATAAAAAATAAAATTTTTAATTTTCATACCCTATTGTGAGGTGTACATTAATAATATGTCACACTATTTTCATCAGATATTATGAGTCTCATTATAACAGGGGATGAACTTATTGCCATACATCCTCTTAACGTTACTAACTAACAAATGTTGAAGTTTTAAAACCTTATGCATGCTACATAGGCCGTCAAAATGACGTCAAAACCCTCGTTCAAATTAAACCAGTTAACTTTTATACAATCGGTCAAAATCAGACGTTGATAAAGAGTATCTTATCTGTCATATTTCAGACACAACAAATAATTTTGTGAAGTGGGTTATCTTGATAATTAGGTATCATCGGTCGAAATATTTTTCTGATATAACCTATCTGGGTACTTGGGTGGAGTGACAGGTGTTGGCAATTATCGTTCATCAAATACGGGGAACAAATTCTTCATACAATTCTGCTTATCTTTTTATACTCTTATTATTTACTAGCTTTTACCCGCAGCTTCGCTCGCGTCACAAAAGGATAAAAAGTACCCTATTATTTAATCCAGACTTCTAACTTTACGTCTGCAAAAATTTAATGCAATCGGTTTAGTAGTTACGGCGCGTATTCGGAACAAACAAACAAACTCACTTTCCGATTTATAATATTAGTAAGGATTAGCTACTACCTCGTGGTTTCATTCACTCTCCTCGGCGCCTGGTGATCGTAGCGTGATGTTTTGTACTCTATAGCCTTGCTCTATAAATGGGCTATCCAACACAAGAAGAATTTTTCATTTCGGACTAGTAATTCCTGAGATTAACGCATTCAAACAAAGAAATATACAAACTCTTCAACTGTAGCCTTAGTACGAGTGTGATTTATGTTTAAAGTAATCGTAACGAGTACAAGTCTGATTTGAATAATTATTTTTGTGTTGGATAGCGCATTTATCGAGGATGGCTATGGCTATAAAACATCACGCTACGACTAATAGGATCTGAGCAGAGCGTGTCAAACCGCGCGGAAGAATCTAGTGTAGTTTATTATGTTTTCGGCTTACTCACGTAATAATTTGACGAGGAACTCGACTAGTTTCAAGCCATGTTAGAGGCTCATATTCATGAGTAGCATTTCGCGACCCGCGACGCGGCGAAAACATAATAATTTATTTAGTATGTCTCACGAAAGTTACAATACAAATATAGCTAGTGTAGTGATAAAGCTGAAGAGTTTGTTTGTTTGAACGTGCTAATCTCAGAAACTACTGGCCTGATTTGGAAAAATCATTTTGCGTCGGATAGTCCATTTATAGGATTTTAGGAAGGCTTGAAGGCTATTAGGAAGGCTTTTGGTTATAAAACGTCATACTACAATCAATAGACACCGAACAAAGCGGGTGACTCCGCGCGGCAGCAGCTAGTTTTTAAAATTAAGACTAGTAGTCCACGTGACCATCTTACGTAGGTATCAAATACCTATACTTATATAATGTTTCCTCATAACTGCTACTATTCCTGTTTATTCATATTTTACAGTCATTTCTAATGAAGAGTGTGGTTATGGGTAATCCACAGAAAACCATTTCAAACAAAATCCAGTAAAGTACCTCTAAGAGTTGATGATGTGTTCATGAAGTAAATTATTTTTACATCAGTCCTAAAAAGGCGAAGTTATGTCAATAATATAAAATGAGAATGCTTAATGAGCTCACAATAATAGGAAAACAAATAAATATTGGTTTTGGATCTGCGCAGTTTGCTTATAGTAAGTACGTACAATGTAAATCTTCAATTATGGACTTAATTAGGTAGATAAACAATTTAGTTTGTAGGTATATTTTAATTCTGTCTTGTCTGGCAGTGTGAAATACGTTCCTTGATAGAATCAATTTATTACTTTATTGTTTTTGTCATTATTATTAGAATTAGAACGAATAAATAAATTACTTACCCTAAAATGGGGAAACTATACAATTTATAACCATTTTATTTAAAAATTGCTGTGAAAAAATCATATAAAATTTTACATTTGTGTTTTACCTATGTTTTCCTCTAGGATTATAATATATATATATATAAGTACTCGTTGTTATTTTTAGTAAGTAGATATTAGTATACTAACTACTACCAATTGGTAGATATAAAAATGTTACCTATCTATTGTGTAGTATTCGTGTCCTTGTTTTTCGTATAGTTACTAATTAAACGAATATATGCAAGTACTTACGACACAAAAACATTACACTTATTATTTAGTGAAGTTTTTTCACAAGAATGTTTAAAATTGTGAGGTACCTTTGCCAGTTCTTTTACTTCTACGGCGACTGAAGCGCCTTTGTTATCAATTTACGGCTATCCTTAGCTATTATTCTTCATTGACATCAAAATTGTATATCAGCAGTCCCAATAGGGTAGTTGCCAGGGAATGAAAATTAAAAATCTAATTAGTCCGTCAGTTAGATAATGAAAAAATATTAGACACATGTTTTTTATTTTCTCGTATAAAATTACAATACTTAGATAAAATAAAGTTAAGTTTAGGAGCGAGGTCGTTACGTCACAAAGTGCTGCAATGCTCCATATGAGCGTAAAGTAAGCGTGTCCATGGGCGGTCTATCTATCCCATAAAAAAAATTGTTTTCAAATACAGATTATTTTTGTTCGGTTTAATTTTGTACAAAATTAAGTGAGCTAAAATTATTATGAAGTCACCTACGTTGCAAACTTCGTCAACCTGGTGACTAAGCATGTTATGTTCCAATTATAAGGTCATCTCCTCCTTGCATATTTTAGTACGACATTGACATCAATAGCAGCCAATTGACACGTGTTGTACTTAATTGATATGGCTGTAATATACGTATTACTTTACAAAATATTGAAGTTTGTTTTTTTTTAAGGGGGGAAAATCATCGAATCACTTCTCCCGCCTTAGTATCGGACTCTTACTGACTAAAAACCACTCGTTCCTACTCATGCATTTCGAGTCGGAGCCCCGGTAACCCGTTAGGTTCTCCGCGGCTCCGTATCGGCATCAGCCATATTGGGCCCCATCCATGGTGGTTTAATGGCTCTTTGAGGCGCGCGCGGAACTCGACACGCCGTACGCTCGGGTATTGAAGTTTGTTTGGAGCAATGGAAACTGCCTAAGTTTTATTATCAAAGAGTTTGTGGCGCTTTGTAGTGTGAATGGTGGGACAAAAGCGTAGGTTGATGTATGAGGTTCGATATGAGATTCATATCTAGGATATCATCAGACTTAGTTCTAGTAATTAGATATTACTAATTCATAACACAGGTCCTTTTAAGTACCTACCTTTTTTCTTTCTTTGTTACTGCATCAATTGATTTATTATTACAATTCAATGAAAATCGTGTATCCACCTACTTTACGCCCGAATACTGAAAGGCTTACTCAGTGTAAAGTTGTACTTAAATATCGTGCCATCTCTGTCATTTTACAAAGAATTTGTAGCGACAGAACTATTCGCATGAACAAACCAATCTAAACTTAAACTATATCTTACAAAAAGTTCAAAGTCCAACTGCCAGATGTCTCCTGCTTGGTCCCCAAACAAACATAACATAACATCACGCCTTTTATCCCCGAAGGGGTAGGCAGAGGTGCACATTATGCCACTGTACAATGTAACACCCACTTTTCACTATTTATGTTATGAGTCCCATGTAATAGGGGGTGAGCCTATCCCCAAACAAATTTGATTTTTAATTTGAGTAGCGTTTGATTTTTTCGGGTAGTTACCTACCTATATTATTGATGGGTCTTAGTAATAGGCTGACCTAAATTAATAGATTTATGCCAATAAAGTCAGCTTATTATTCATCCAACCTAACATACTTCTTACGTTGACGTAAGTGACTTGTTTATAACATCATAATTATTAGAAGCTCCCGATATGTTTCAGGGAAAATGGACTCTATGAACTATGCAATGACGTCAATACAATTACGCGTTATTCCAATTAGTTTTGCACTATAATAAAATATTTATTAAAATATGGTAATATAAATTAATTTAATTTAAGAACTTCTATGGTACGGCGGCCCGCACGTCACCCTATTCTTTTCTGTCTAATTTCTCTATTACACCTTTGACTTTACTGTATTGACATAAAGTCGAAAATCCAATGAATAAATTTGACAAATTGGGGAGGTTAATCTGCGGGTCACTGTAGGTACCTACGTTAGATACATTTGGTGGTATTCATATTCAGTTTTCCTTAATTTGTCAACCTCAGATACGTATAACTACCGTATTCATTTAGGTAGTTACGTCAATCTATAATCCATTTTTTGTTTCTGTAACTGATTTTTTGAAAGATTTTATTTTTATATGCGTTTTTTTAATAGTTTATAAACACATCAGATAGGTACTCACAGTCGGACCCGAATAACAATTTGTGTATGATACAGAGGTGTTTCGGACGGGAACCGAATTCCGCACGTTGTGTTGCCCAGTCATTGCGCCAACCGCACGTCAAAGTTTCTTCTTTACCATCATAACTTAGTACTTACTATTTCTTTCATCTTAGTACCTACCTAAATAGGTAGATGTGATAAATATAGGTAATTTTTTAAGGCAGTGGACTACCTACTACCTACCTAGATAAAAAAACTAGTGTTAAGAAACTAACCTTTTTTTTCGATGACGGGAGGAAACGTTCAAAAGGCGCCTATCTTTTTGGGGAGAAAGGCTATGGGTTGTGGGATTCGTACCACACTAAAACCACCCCGGTAGCCACCCTCAGCACCTGTAACTGGCACCGGGTTCTTCGAAGAGACTTGCTCCTGAGCCCCCACGGTGCAACGCCTGTTACAACACATCTCTATGGAACAACTGGGCGCTTCTCACGATGCTTTCTGCCTCGCGCAGCAAAACTGTGGAATGATTTGTCGTCGGCGGTATTTCCGAACTGATACGACCTTCAAACCTTCAAGAAAAGAGCATATTCCTTTTTAAAAGGCCGGCAACGCACCTGTGACACCTCTAGTGTTGCGGGTGTCCATGGGCGGTGCTGATCGCTTACCATCAGGTGATCCGTCTACTCATTTGCCTCCTATTCCATAAAAAAAGAGAAACTGGGCCTAACATATTTCTCCAGATGAAACCGAATAACCCATAATTTGCTTAAATTGGTTTGCAGTACAAATACAAATAAGGAAATAAGTGTTAACTCTAAGTAGGTACCTACCTACGTAACTCTACATATAGTAATTGTCATTGGACACCACAATCGATGCAACACGACTGAATGCATTATGTATTCGGGTTCTAGTTTCCGGTTCTCCAGCCTGCTTATAAATACGCATTATAGTATTTAAACTGCAATTAGTGTTACCTATGTAGGTGGTTGGTGGTTATTGTCTATGTATTCAGTCAGTTTAGTGTTTGGAAAACACTGAAATCACAACATCCAGGCTAAGTAGGTACTTGTAGTGTAGTTTTATTCAACTTTCTTTAGCATTTCATAGTTTTTTTTTCATAGCTTTTTGTTATAAGAATGTAGGTTGTATAATATAGGTACTTAGCGGCCTAGACACATAATACTTATATATAGTTACTAGCTTTAGCCAGCCTGTTCAAATTCATCTCTTAAATTTGTTCATACAAAAGTAGTCTCTAAACATCGAAAATAAGGTCTATAATTTAGTTAGTGGAGAGCGGACACCGGTGACCGCTTGGGGATATATGCCTTCCCGTGGGATAATGTACCAACTCTGTTCCAAATTTAATCCCGGTCCTTTAAGCCGTTCCGACGTGATTGTATAACAAACATACACACAAACAAACTGTTGCATTTATAATATTAGTAAGATTAATATTAAAGTTTGTAAAATTCCCAAACAAACATTGTCCTGACTGATTGACTGGCTAGGTATGTGTAGTGCAATGCACAGTAATAAGAAATTTCCCTACTACCTACGGTTCCTGTTCATTTTTTATGGGATAAGTCGTTAAACGAGCAAACAGATCACCTGATGGTAAGCAATCGGCACCGCCCATGGACACCCATAACACCAGAGACGTTACAAGTGTTTTACCGGTCTTTTGGGGATTAGGTACGATTTGAGGATTTTTGGGGATGCAGTGATAGGGGATGTTGGTAATTGGGTCTCCGGTAACCTCACTCATACGAAGAACACAACGCAAGCGTTATTTCACTTAGGTTTTCTGTGAGGCCGTGGTATGACTCCGGTTGAGCCGGCCCATTCGTGCCGAAGCAAAATCTATGTTAGGAACTTGCGGACACTGCGAATAAAAATTCCTGCCTAGAGAATCACCGTTAATTGATTCATAAATTAGAATCAAAAGGAGTTAATTGCATTAATTCTCGCAAAGATGATGTCTCATAATGTGTGACGCGACGCGTACCAGCGTACCTAGGTACTAAGAAGCAACATTTTTGCGCGATTACGCATATGTAAGGTCATACCGAGTGAATTAATGCAAGTAATAAGAACATGAACTTACATAAATCGTAACAAATGATGTTAAAATTATCTATACTGACCTAGTGACTGATATTATCTTTCTCATTCTTTTGGAAATACATAATATTTGTTTGCAGGTACAGTTATAAAAAATATTCGTATTGTTTTGTTTTTTTTACGATCTTTTCCTATCTAGATCGGTGTCAGCCAACACTCAGATTTGGTTTACTTGGCGTAACTACAATTAGCATAACAATGGGGTTGAAAATATACAGCATTCTAATCCATAATATTTGTTCCCAGGATCCAGCGCTGGACTCGTACACCTTGGAACACGAAGCAAGAAAGTTGGATAGCACGCTCACCCACAGCCTTCCTCCGCTCAACGACAGCTACGACTCGTCCAAATAAACAACGGCTCCGCGACAAGCCGATATTTACCAATAATGAGCTGCCAACGCTCGAGCATTGTGTAAAAAACACACAATAGGAATACAGATGGTGTAATTTATAACCAGCCGTGTAGTTTCAAGTTTCTATTATAGGAAAACTGGCTGCGTTGTGTAAAATTAGCAGATAAAAGTCGATACAATAGATGACAGCAACGTTATTCCTATACACCGAACTAATTATTATCACCTGTTTTCAGATAACGTGGTGTCTATTTTTAATATCGTTCGAATAATCCTAAATGTAAATTGGGCGTAAACGACAGTACAAATATGGTATGGACTAGCGACAGCTACAAAATTTAACCTTCGACTCAAAAACAGGCCTCATTCATGATCATGATGGACCAGAATGTTGAAAGTGGTTACGAAATCATTAATCAGTAAAAGTATTGCTGAATACCATTGTACTTATCGGTACACTCGTGACGTCATCACTGCCTGTCGTATCGGACGCATGTTTACGAATTTTGTTTGTTCGACATGTGAGTTACATTCGTGTTAATTACACCACATGTCGATGTCAGTAGAGAGTTGAATCTATTTGGAATGTTGAATGTTTATGTAGGTGACTCAAACGACCGAATTTTATAGATTCTTCTCGGTAGGGTATAGCACCAAGTATTCACGAATAATTTAAGCGAAGTGTATTTGTCATTTAGCAATGATTTGTTTGATAACACGTATGAGTCAGTGTGTCTTGAACCATGATTCACACTGAGGTCAGTTCAAAGACCGGAAATATGGAAGCTATTTTTTTTAACTTCAATGACTCAGTAATCGTTTAGTTTAATGACGAGATTATGTGTGATCTGTTTTTCTAGTCAATTCGAATAATTATTTTATAGTATTAAAATCAAGGAAGTATTAGGTACTAAGTGTTTTTAAATATGTAATAACAAGTAGCTATATTTTAAACAGAATGTTAAGCATGTTTTAAATAACGAAGTTGGCAGTACCTAATGAAACTAAGCCAAGAAGTGTTTGTAATTTATTTTTGAACTAATTATCCCCATCGGATAATGGATTCTATGCTATTCGTACCCATTTATTTTTGGCATACAATATGCCAACTAACATTAATAATACAAACAAATGATTTACCTATTTTATTGTCATTTACCTTTATGTTCCTCATATACCCAGATATAATAAATTAAAACAAAGTTATTTACATCTTTATATCCATTACATCATTGTTTTCCTTTTATGAGCATACGTCATTCGTATAAATTAATACACGTGTTCAAAAAAATATAATTATAATGTGAAGATTTCTTAGTTTGATATATCTATTGTGTGATTATGCAAATTTTTATAATAATAAATATAATTAGGTATAACAGTCACCTGTTCTAGTCATTATAGTAACTAATTATTTAAGACTTAACGGCAACCATTCCGTCCGACTATGTTCTAATTACAATCTATATGTACCTAATAATAAACGTATCGACACCTAGGTACCACCATATCACGTTTTCCGCCTCAACGACTTATGAACGTTAATTTAAAATAGTCCCGTATTTAACAATATTATTTCAATACGACATGTAGGAATATTGTTGTATCGGAAAGAAATAAGCAATTGTTGAGAGCCTCACTGACAATTTCTCAATTGAAACCTTATTGTTGAACAATCAATTGTATTTTATTTCAATAAACACTAAAAGTTTATAAAATACGTGCAAGTGTCACTTCACGCTTTATCGCAGAAGAGGCGAGGCAGTTTAGCTATCACTATTTTTATTAACTAAATATGAATAAATGATGCGGATATCGCTTATCAAAGTAATTTTACGAGTATGTATCAAAAAAGCAAATTGTTCTGATAAGTGTATATGCACGTATTGGGTTATTATTATGTTACTATAAAGAGCAGCAACAATGCTCCCCGTTAACATTTGACCCTACTGCAACTAGATAAGCGTCGCAGACAGGCTCGGGGCGCCTTGATAAAAATGGTTCAACACCATTTCATTATACTATCTATTTCGCCGGGTATCGGCGTCACTGTACACTACCTTATTGTATGTAGATACACCCCCTCACGCTTTTTACTACAAATTACCGACTTTACTGTATTTAACATTAAGATATTATTTTGTACGTTACACGCGCCCCCATAGTGAGCTCGATCTATGTATGAGACCTTGTTACACATCATGGGGTGTGTCAATAGAAACTAATGCAATTGTAATTCAATACTTGTTTTGCATTATAGATTAGATTGCTTAGTTATCGAGTTCATAAATAGGTATTAAGTTAGACGTATTGAGTTCATTTCCACTGGACTGTGTCAATTCTTATGTTACTAGAATATCGACATACGACCGCCACGTCACACTGCCATACATAATTTTGTCATGTTTGTATCTACTGTTTAGTTAGACCCTTTAGAATTAAGTACAGACACGTCTATGTAACTTTTTTACACTCATCAAGTTAATAAAATAGTTGTAGATGGTATATGGTTGTTTCAATTAATTAAATTCCATTAAAATTCCGAGCCAATTGACGTTTATTTGATAGTCGGTGGGGTACCGGCGGCGTGTGGAGCCGCCGCGCGGGCCTGGGATGTGACTCATCACGCCGCGACCTCGATTGACATCACGGGAGCGCCGACCGCGGGGGGGACAAAACATACCCCAAAACGAAAGTATTTAAAATTGGTTTTATTGATGCAAAAAAAAGAAAATTAATAGATTATTGTACATGTCCATTATTGATTGAAAAGATAAAATATACAAGTTCTTAATTTTCACAATATATATAAAAATATAATTCAACTCAGATCAAAGTCATATCCAATATCCTTGTGCAGTAAATCTTACATGTTAACAGAAAAGAGAATGGAGGAAACATCTAATTCCGTAACAATATTTGAACACCTATATAATTATTACGTTTAACAAAGTTCTAGCAGCAAAACATAGGTAGATAATTTACATTTAAATGAGCCAGTAATCATAAAACTTTAATCCATTTACAATAACGATAAATTTCTTATTTCTCAAATTCATAGGTTAGGGGTTATAGTATGATGGCCAGTGGTGTACATTGATAACACAAGGCATAGGGCACCACCAACATTACACTGGAGACTCTAAAGTCGCAGGGTGCAATCACCTAAGGCTCTCTAATATTTGTTCAAAAGTTACCGAGTCCCTAAACGGTTTCACATTATCAACTTTTCACTTGATACATTTGAATTATATAACAAGACAATAATATATTCTGAAAAAATTTAATGTATCCTTAATTCACATATTTAAACATTACATACTGGGTCAGGCCTTTAGGGCACAACACCCATGTCTTTTCAGAGCCTGCTTAACTCTCACACAACTGTTCAGAAGTTCCAGGCCCTCCCTTAATCAGTATGATTAGATAATAACTACTAAATGGTAAACTATATCTATATTAGGTCCAGACAGACAGATAAATATATATTTTTTATTTTTATATAACTATAAATGCAGTCGCGTTCACATGTAACCATTTGATGAACAGTAGTCATACTTCCATTTAATGGTGACACTACAACGGGACCTTGAAAGATAATTTCATGGTAAATAAGTAGCTACACTCATTTTCCTGTTCAATTACATTTCAGGGGCTGTCTGCACCTAATATTGTTCATTATTATTAAAACAAAAATATTTTTAGTTGCTTTTCATATATTTGAAAATCATAATTGAGAAACAATGAGAAGTATATACTTGAAGAGCTTTTAGAGTGAAGTAGTGCCATGTTTTAGATAATATCTGGAATGAACATTAATGAAGTCAGTATTGTCACAGGGTTCTAGAACATACTCCTCATAGCCTCTAAATAAATGAAAATGTTTATACTTACATCAAGTAGTTTTAAATTTATAACCATTTACAACTTCTGAACCTAACAGCATCCACACATTACAAATGGAATTTCTAGAGTGAAACACACACAGAATCGTTGAATCTATCCTTGAATATTATAACTATCAAAATATAGATCAGAAGGTTTAGGAGCCACATTGTATGGATAGGTACATGGATATAATCCAACACGCTCTGTGGATTTTCCACCGGTGCTGCAGCACACCATCACAAACTCAACAAATGCACATTCTTGAAATGCTACAGGTAATACCAAGCAATGATGCTTAACACCCGACCTAGATAACTTTGGGAACAGTCGAGAGCCAAATCTGGGTACCAGAAGTCTTTCAAATTATTAAATATTTTATACCTAGACGCTTCGGAGGCTCCAGCGGCATTCTTACAGAATGTGACATCTTGGTTTTTTTACTTTCTCACTGTTGATAGGCGTTCTCCTGTTGATTTGACGAACTAGGTCGAAGAACACATCGTTCACGTGTATTTTGGCTTTCGCCGAGGTCTCCATGAACGAGCAGTTGAAATGGCGTGCGAGATTACTTCCCTGCTCCTTGCCCACCACGCGCTCCGCTTCCAAGTCAGTCTTGTTGCCGACCAACACCATGGGAACGTCGTCTTTGTCCTTCACCCGCAGGATTTGTTCCCGCAGGTCTTGCAAGTCGTTAAATGTCGATTGTGCGGTGATGGAGTAAACTAAGACGAATCCTTGTCCATTTTTCATGTATAAGTCTCTCATGGCTGTAAATTGCTCCGTACCAGCAGTATCCAGTATCTCTAGCATGCATTGTTGACCGTCAACTTCCACCTGTTTCCGATAACTGTCCTCGATGGTGGGGTCGTATTTCTCGACAAAGATGCCTTGTACGAACTGTACTGTCAGGGCGGACTTTCCCACGCCTCCGCTGCCTAACACGACTATTTTGTATTCACGCATTATTAACTATTTTTTATCACGTGATATTATCAACTTAAATCAAAGATCAAATCGCTAAAAAGCACATTAACTAGTAAGTTATTGCAAAAAAACCTTTAACAAGTCAAACCGCCATGACACCGTTAGCAGGGCGATGGCTCACTGTGTCGGTATTGCCATAAATAAATTTTAATTATTTATCACAAAGTCTATGAACAAAGTTTAGTTTTTTCCATTGTACGCTAGCCAATATTGCGGAATGTTGTGCTAAGTACCTACCTAGTTATAGTTTAGCAATATTTTTTGTTTGACAGTATTTCTACAACTGAGAGAACTGCATATAAATGAATCACTCGAGAGACTGTCATATAAACAATAGGTTTGCAGTCTGCACTTATTAGTCCAATAAAAGTGGAAGGATGCATCAAATTATTTAATTTTTTTCAATTAATGTTTTTCAACTGCAGGCAATGTAATTATTACAGTACAACGGATTTAATATAATTTAAGAGTGTGTAGATGTTGCGTTTTATTCTAGAAATAAAGTGGATAAATTACAGAGAGAGAGCTAAGTCAATATGAAATTGTTGATATTTAATAAAAACATATATTTTTAATTAACCAAAGTAAATATTATTTCGGTGCTATACATTCTTTAACTATTCTTTTTTATAAATCATTTTGTTTTGTATTATAATATTATTGTTGGTTGTTACTATATTTGGATTTCAATATTTTGTAATTATCTGTGGTAAGCACAAGTACACACGGCGAGGTTCTACATTTGACCGAGAGATGGCAATTAAATCAACTGTTATCCGAGAAAATATTTTTTTACAAGTTCTTAATTTACGGCTGACTACACTTTAGTTCAATTATTACATTTATTTATAATAATGAGATTTAACAACATATATATTTAATTACTTTTGACTACTCATAGAATTACTTTAGTTTGCCTAGAATTGTATAGATGGCGTTGTTTCCATATAATCTATAAAAAGTGCGAAGTACCTAGATGCCGCTTGCCTTGTCTATACCGCTTATACCTATGTATAAAAGTAAGTAGATACATAGGTCCAAATAGCGACCATTGCTTTTTTTGCTAAGTTTCAATGTTAGTTGCAGCCTTGCATGTGCAATTTCCTACTCGTTTAGACTAAATTCTGGTACTTATATGACTTGAACGTTTGTACATTCCTCATACCGAGGCATAAAGGCATCATGAACACTGGCATAACTACAAGGTAGCAAGTCGATAACATGCCACGGGCCCCCAGGGATCCCCATATAGAGATTTTCGTCTGAACTCCTGTTTTTTATTGGGAACGGGCGTCCTTCCGATGAATTTGCCACAAGCTTCGATCGGTACCAATAGTTAAACTTAGCTGCTTACGGAGTCAATTAAAAACTTTTATTCAAGATTCTTACTCGTATGCACCAATGAACTTTAATGAACACCAATGTACTGTAGGTAATGTGTCAATGATCCCTAACCTACCTAAAACTGAAGTAATTGGGTCCAATGACTGCCCTAATAAACTTAGTTTAGCTACTAATAAATTAAAAGCTTGTCCAATTTGGTCTAATAACATAAATCAAAGTAATCCTTCCGCAATCCGTTTATTTCTAACAACGCCAGAAGTTGTCACCATAAACCAAAGAGTAAAGTAAAAAAAATCTAAGTAACTTTATTAATAGGGAGTGGCACATGACTCGCTAAAATTTACTCTTTTTTTAATTAAATTGCTGTGTGTCCGACCCTATCATTGCCGCCATTTCGGGGATGATCGGGTACGTTCGTGTATCACGCGAGCTCTGAACGTACTAAAACTAAAAACTATTACACGCAGAGTAATTAAAGGGGCATAGGCGTGTGCCTCTGACACGGTTCTCGTTTGTTCCATTAATTTAGATAATTTTCTTTTTAAATTAAATAGGTGGCTAAAGATTTATCATTATAGAAGAATCATAAAGGTAAGGTGCTTCATACCTCCTAAGTACCCCCCTTCTTTTAGTTAAAGCGTGAATTAATTAAATAATCTGTTATGATTTTGTTTTTTGTAGACGGTCAAGCATTTAGGTAGTTGCACACTCCACTGACTGATTGACAAGCTTTGACTGTACATTGCGAATTTGCGAATTTGTATTAATCTTAATAGTACAACAGCTTATGTCCTGTATTTTTATACACCACTGTGTCTCTCTATCTTTAAATCATTGAACTTATTTGAGTGGATTTCGGTACGACGATAGTTTAACCTTTTGGTCACCAAAGAACTTTTAACTCGTTTGGTATTGCAGGTATCCATTGGGGGCGCTGTTGATACTTTACAATAAGGTGATCCGTCTAGTCATTAGCTCATGAAAAAAAAAATAGTTTATAGGTAAATTGAAAAACCTGACAGATATTATATCTACATCATAGTTCCTATCATGTTAAAGTTATCAGATTGTCTTGATAGCCGATTTTTATACAGATAATACCAAGATAATACCTAATGAGTGTCGCGGAGAACCTAACGGGTTCCGGGGCTCCGCCTCGACGTGCAGGAGAAGGAACAGAGTGGTTTTTAGTCAGTAAGAGTCTGACACTCCCTCCGCCTCGGGAGCAGTCATTCGATGATTTTCCCCCCTTAAAAAAACCTAATAAGTACCTACTATACTTATGTAAATTCGGCGAAAATGTGCTCTAAAATATTTTTATGATACTTAATTAATCAATTGCAATAAAAATATACCTATATAGTGTCTAATAATATCATTTCTGAGTATATATTTACAACAGATATAAAAATGTGGTTATTTATGACAGAAGAATAGGTCGTAGAATTTACGATGCAAACAGCAGTAAACAATTTTAAGTTGTTATGAAAGCAATGAATATAATAATAAAATTTTCATGGTAGCCGATTAAGGGAACTCGAATCGGAATATTTAACTCGAAAAATACAGTATTTTATGTTCTTGATTGTGAATGCACGATAAAACGATATTTATTAAAATGGCAGACAAATGTGATGGAATGGGTATTTTTAAAATGGAAGGTTTGAACTTACCAATGTTTTGTGTTTTATGCATGTAAAAATACTTGGTATATTATGTGTATGTATTTAGATACTAGTTTTATTAGTTCGAAACTACTAAACAAAGATTTTCAATTGTTATTCTTAAGTAATTTGGTGAAAAGTAATATGAATAAAAACGACAGTTTTAAAATGAAGATTACAAAATCTTCATAGACCTGTCAGAAGACTCACTGCACAATAATCTGGCAAGATGGACCGCAAGGAAAAGTTACACATGGACTCCACCTCAGAGTTAGGTCAGGGCAACCAGAAGAAGGTACCTAGGTTTTTTTTAAGGGGGAAAATCATCGAATAACTGCTCCCGCCTGGGTGATGCGGGAGGAAGTGTCAGACTTTTACTGACTAAAAACCACCCCGTTCCTTCTCCTGCACGTCGAGCCGGAGCCCCGGTAAACCACCGCCTCCTCGACAAGGTACCTAGGTTAGGTGTGTACTTACAATAGTTGATTTGGAGATTAGAATTTCAACTGATTATAACTCGTCACACAGACACTATCTATTAAAGAAGATAGCTATAGAAATTTAATAAATGCTAAAGATTCACGTCTGCTACAGAAAAATGATTGAATCAATATTTTTCAATTTATTAGTTGACGCTCTTTGACACCGGTGCGCTAGTGTCGTCACCCAGTTAATGAGATAACTTTGTAAGAATGTTGCGAATATTAAATAAGCCCGATAACACTACAAACTTGTGTCGTACTGAAATTATTTATTTTATGAATTATTTTGTTGCTGTGGCTTTATTATTGGATGGCGTTTGCCACTTAAGTAGGTACTTTATTTTGGCTGAATATTGTAATGAGAGGGAATAATTTAGTAATTATGTAAAATAACAATTTTCAAGAAGTCGAGACACTTAAGTCGTTTTGTACTTTAGCTATGAGATCAAACCAAGAGCACGACAGTTTGATCATTTCATTTATTAGGATAACTACATACAGTTTACTTATCTTCTTTAATAGCAGCACAGTGTCTGGCTCTAGAATCTTTTACAATACAACCGGCCAGTTTCGACCACTATAACAGATTCACTTCTATGAACGTTCATCAACTAAATTATTATGTTTCGGCGTCGCGGGTCGCGAAATGCTGCTCATGAATATGAGCCTCTAGCATGGCTTGAAACTAGTCGAGTTCCTCATCAAATTATTACGAAGTAAGCTGAAAACATAATAATTTATTTAGTATGTCTCACGTAAGTTACAATACAACTTTCATCAACCTTCACCCCTTCTAACAATGGGAATAAAAGACCCCATATAACATACATATGTTTGCATATTACATAGCCAGCATACCAGTGATTGTATCACAAGACATAATAGTGTAATAGCGACGTGTACGGCACGACACACGAGTCATCAGCCACACTATCGCGCTCATCCATCGCGTGTCACCCACTAATTAACATATTAATTGCTATCAAGCAATACGTGCCGTGATTCACGCTACACCGACCCCGGAAAATATGTTATACCCGGAAAATGACTGGCCTATATAGTTTTTTTTAGTAAAAATAGGAGTTCTAGTTGTGATTGAGTTGTGACACAATTTTTTTGTAACGATTTTTGGCCGGAAAATTGGTGTTATGGTGTTACTGAGGGATACGTATGTAGAATAACCCACAAATTGGCTTACTTAGGTACTGACAAGGCAGACTGCCTCGTTGGCCGAGTGGTCGCAAGTGCGACTGCCGGGCAAGGGGTCTCGGGTTCGATTCCCGGGTCGGGCAAAGTATTACTGGGTTTTAAAAAAATTCTCAGTAGTAGCACGGAGTCTGGAATTGTGCCCGGTATATGGCAATAGGCTCACCCCCTATTACATGGGACTCATAACATAAATAGTGAAAAGTGGGTGTTACATTGTACAGTGGCATAATGTGCACCTCTGCCTACCTCTTCGGGGATCCACAGATGGGGCCCAATAGGG